CCTTTAAACCAAATAGAGAGATTAATTGAAAATGATGCCGTATCACTGTTTCAAATGATTACTGCAGAATATTGAAGAACCAGTCAAATGTTTTAGAAAAAAATTACATCATTTTATTGCAGAGAATTTAAAACCACACTTATATCTGTCTTTTAAAATGAAGCTGCGTCAGGTGGATAACGAGGGTCTGGTTAGACCAGCACCTCTAGATCTAATCAAGGAAGACTCGATGGGACACATGAGGACACATCCAAGTCCTCATGACGGACACAGGCTTTCACTCTTAATGCTGAAATGAAATCACCTTTAGACATGAGAAGGTTGATGAGCTTCTCACCTTACGCATGAACCATTCATGTGGTGCCATTAAACACACTATAACAAACAATTCTTGGAACCCTTAAGGGCCTAAAGCACCACGTGTTGATTTGCACTAACAGAAATGTCATTTGTCAAAAGAAGACTGGAAAACATGAAAATTCATCAAATACAAAATTCAATCTCCAGCTCAGCATGTAAAGTTCTCCTTTATCCCCCCGTGAGGATCCGAGGCCAGCGGTGGAGACTATTTGCTGAGTGGGACGCTGTTTGGGCAGCAGGGACGGACGCCTCTTTGTCTCTTTGCTATAAATCTGGCCACGAGGGAAGCGGCTGCTGAAGACAATGTTTTGGCGACCCAAGCCCCGGTGTCGTTTAGTGGAAACCATCTGCTGGTTAGGAGAGGGATGGATGAGTAAAAGACAGAATGAAAGAGAGATAAATGGGGGGAGAGAGAGAGAGAGAGAGAGAGAGAGACCACTGGTGGAACTGCATAGATTTTGCTGTCTTTGTGGGACATCCAGAGACGATGCTGGTGTTATCTCCCTGCTCCCAGACCTCGGCGGACTGCAGTATGGAACACAGATAATGAATAAAGAGCAATATGCTCATGTTCTCTTTCCCACAGCAAGCTGGTCGACTTGATTCAGCAAACGGTGGTCAGGTTAAAAATGTCAAAGAATGTGGCAAGTTTTAGTTTGTAAACTGGTAGTTTTGTCCTACATCAGGTAGAACAGCCCTACATGCTACTGTAGCTCAACGCTGTCTCATATCATTTCCCATTCACGTTTCATCTCTTTGGAATGCGGACAGTTAAATATTTAAAGTAATTAAAAAAGAAAGCTACACCGCACAGATGCGTTTTTTCGTTCAGTGCAGGATTATAAGCTGTTCTAATCGAGCCTGTTTGGATTGTATTTAAAGACAAACTTCACAGCGGCAGGACGTGTTTTCTTCTTTGGTGGCCTCGAGGGCCTTGGTGCACTACCCAACCCGACCGAGCCCGCGTCAGTGGCACTCGCTCCACCCTCCATCGAATCGTTCAGCCTTAGAATGAGGTGACTTAAATAAATAAATAAATGGAGTGAACAGTACCAGAGTCACTGTAAGGAGTAAGGATTTGTTGTAGTGCTTTTAGTGACAGCGATTATAAAATGCTCAACGGATTTAGTGTGAGCTCATTTATTATTTCTGTTTCTTTTTAACTTATTCATCTCTTTAAATACTGAAGCAGCTGAGGCTTGCTGTGTTTCCGTCCCGTAGTAACACAAAGTCACCCACCCTCCGCTGGGACGACTCCGATGGATTAAGTAGTTGAGACTGACGCTTTCCATCCAGCTACCGCTGCGTGGCAAAGGATTGACCCCCAACTACTCCGCTCAGTGATAAACTTCGCTTGGCGCGTCACGTATGTGCATGTGACAGGCCAATCAAGGAAATGGAGTGCGCTAATGGAGACGGAGATGGCCGCTCTCCCCCATGTGTCCCTCGACGTCTCACCTCCTGACATATTGTTTTAGCAAATGTAACTGCTGTAACCGGAGGCGGGATGGACGGTGTTTTACGGTTAATAGGCTCTTAAATCAAAGCCGCAGCACAGCCGGCCAATCGCAGAGCCGTCAACTTAGACCTCCGTTCAAGGTTGCCGTTGCGATTGCGGACGGCGTGAATTTGTTCTCTCACTGTCCGTCTCTCCAGCCGCAGTTCACACCTTTCGCCGGGTTTCTCTCCTGCTCTGCCGTGGAAATCTCCATTGTTCCCCATCTTCCACTTTTACTTCGCTCCGCTCTTTCTCCTTCCCCATCTTTCGCTGTTAAATCATCCACTACTTTGCCTGCCAGTTCGTCTCCGCCTCCTCCTGTCCTCCCGCTACATGTGCTCCTACTTCACTACCTCAGTCATCCGCTCTGTCTCCAGCTGCCTCGTCGCCCAGGCGAGCTCTGCAGTGAAGCTGGCCTTGACTGTCTTTGTCTCACCTCACCTGCCCTCCTTCCCGTCCTTTCCCTCCACTTCTTCCCCCGACATTCTCTCGCTCCAAAAACATTCACATGGTTTATTGAAGCCTCCATTCAATTAGCGAAGGACACGTGTACTTTTATCGTGACTGTCGGCTCCATTTATCCGCCAAGCTGTTTGAATGGCAGGAGGCGGTGCGTATCGATGAAAGGAGTCCAAGGGAATGTGAGTGTTGGAGACCGGTCCAGAGATCGTAGATTGCATGTTGTTGGGCTATTCTTTATCCAAGGACGTGCAAGCCGACCGAAAGCCAATGCAATTCCATTGAAATTTAATTTCAGCTGCTCTTGGCATAAGCACCTGGCACGGAACACGTTGAGGGGTGAATGTCCTCTTGTACACTACAGACACTGAATACAGTGAATGAATAATAAATTGGTCGATTGTCAAGGACTATGCACCCTGTCTCTCAAAAAGCGTCCGCGTTTGACCTGTGCTCTCAACGGGAACAAGGCCGCCGAGCACATCGCACAGCCGGGTTTGTTCACATCCACTTGGATTTGCATTGGCTTGCATTTGGTTGCATCACATTATCAAGATTATTTTGTTTACCCTGGAAGTGCATCTTTTTTTCTCAAAGATTTGGCACGCAGTTTAGAAACCAGAAATAGCTGTTGCCTTAGCAACAGCTAGGATGGATCAAAATATGCAATAATGAGAGCGAGAAGCAAATGCAATCTAATAAATTATAATCTATGAGCTACACTAACTGAGTTTTAATTAATAAGATGCAGAAAGCCTTGAAAACATTTTCCAGAAACAACGGCCACAGAAGTGCTCGGCGATTCAGATGGTTCTGGTGGTGTGAACACTGATGCTCTCCAATGGTTAAAGAGAACCGACTGACTAATCAAAGTTTATGGATACAAAATTGGGACTCTTTTTTTTTTTGAAGTATCCATCCACGTGCATGAAAAACCACAACAGAGAAGCAGCTGTACTTTTTGGGAGTCAAATTAACTCTTAAATCGACATATTTCTTGCATCAATGTGGAAGACGAGGAACTTCTAATGACAGACAACGATTGACTTTGTTGGGGGAGACATGCCACTAGCTTCTGATTGGTTAATGCAACAGCGTCGAATGCATGTTAGTATAATTATCAGAATATCATAAGCATTTATACAGGATGAGCAGTCAGACCCAACATTACATTCTACCACAGAATCCACCAGCTAAAAGTGTATTTAGATATTTTCAGTCAGTGTCCATTCAGAGATTCTGGCCGATTAGACCTGCGGTCATGTTGAAGTCATTTGAGGACACTAAGCTCAGTAGCCTACTGATTATCGGGGAAAACAGGCGGGAGAAAAAGGCCTTTCCAAGTTAGAATTGCACTAAATATTCTATATAATGTCTCAGTCCCAGCCAACCTTTGCCCAGCTGAGCAGAATAATTAAAACACCTACTGTATGTTTGACTATTTGAGATGATTTGCTGATTCCTAACGGTCGCTGTTTAAGGATCACACAACACGCTGCTCGAGCACACTGATGATCTGAATGACTGGAAGAGTAAAGAAGTCAAACCGCCGTGTGAAGTGCTTTACTTTGAATAGATTGAAAATGGAGTGGTGCAACCTTTAGTGCTTCAGCGGCCGCCTCTCATGAACCCTCTGCTTTTTGACCTCCGTCTCCCGCTGATGAAGACAAATAGCCTTTTACCATAGAAATGTTAAGGAATATTCTTGAGGACCAACTAGGGCGCGCTGCACAAGGCGGCTCCCAGGATGTGAGGGACGCCCGGACGAGGACACGGTATAATGTGGAGACGTGACTGTATGAGTGCTGTAAAGTCTGCATATTAAAAATCAAGACTGTCCACAGAGTTGTTTTGGCCTCCCAACAAATAAATTTGTATATCAGACTAACCAACATTCAACTATACTTGTTTTTTGAAGCACAATCATAAACCAGTTGTTATTATTGTATCCATGGCGATAAATCTCCCTGAACCTTGACCAAGTAGTTGTATCAACCCGAGGCATGAGCTTAGATAACCAAACCTTAACCATAGCGTTGTCATCATATCTAATCTAATTATCAATTTGTAATTCGGGACGACAGACAAATGATGTCGTTCTGTTGATCGACGGCTTGCTGTGCTCTGCCTACATGTCGATGTCGTCTTATCTCTAATTATCAATGAATGAATGCCAAAGTCAGGCCGCCCCATTGCCCCTGATGAATTCAGGAAGCCTCCAAACACCAACACCAAATCCGCAGAACCTGGAGAGTCAATGAGCTCGGTCAGCGGGTGGATTTCTTTAATCAGCTGGTGCAACAACAGCAAACATGTACATTAACAAGTATGATGAATAGGCTTAATGTTTGGCACATCACTCTTTAATGTAAATACAATCATCTTCAGCTTCTCCGTCATTTCAACACAGTCAGATTTAGTAAGAAATCCTTGAGTGAGTCCTAACTTTTATTCGACACCAACTCTCCTCCGTGCAGGTCACCACGAAGCTTTTCCACTGTGGATACAAAATTCTGTTCACAATAATGAATGAGTACAGCGTCACTCAGCTAAACAGGTTTTAAAAATAGCCAGTACATTAAAATTGATCATTAGGCTGCAGAATACAGATTGATATGATGTTTTTTACATATATATATAAACCAACTTTGTTCACTCCTCCTTCTCTCTTTTTTCCCATCAGATATTGACGAGTGCGCTGAGGGGAAGCACTACTGCAGGGAGAACACCATGTGCGTTAACACCCCAGGCTCCTTCATGTGCATCTGCCATACGGGCTACATCAGGATCGATGACTATTCCTGCACAGGTGAGTTCCTCTGCTGACCTTTTTTGACAGGCTGGAATCAAGTAGAGAGAAAGCACAGCTTTTTTTTATTCTGGCTCTGAGAGCTTCAGCCTCCACAGAAACCATTTTGCGCTGAGAGTTGCTGGCAGACTTGAAATATGTGGAGAAAAGGAGGGACATGCAAGCAAAGGGACATTCAATCGGAAGATATGTCTTCACTGCAGTGACGTCTAAAGCATATACATGCTGCCATGATTGAATTGAACTCATACAGTGGAGGATTGTGAATTCAGCAGCAGAGACACAGAGAGGACGAGGCAGCCTGATGTAAACATGGCGAGCTATCGCTGCCAGACTGCAGGGGGACAGAATGAGGGAGCTGTGCAATGATAACATAGTTATGATAAAACCCTGTAGAACCCAGCGGTGTGCTGCACCTCCTCTCCCCGTTTTCTCTCTGTTCGTCACGTCCCAGGCGGCGCCTTCTTAGACACACTCCGTGATTCTGTTACCTCACAATGATGCACGTCCTGTTCATTTGATATGCGTAGGGATAAACGTCTCAGTTTGATTTGCTCCTATTAGAGTTGCTCTGATTACAAAACTAAAACGTGCACACAGGAATCAGGAAGAGCCACCGCCTTATGATTCAGCACAATGGAGAACAGAGAAAAGGCTGGAATCACTTTTCTGTTGAATTTGCTTTGTGTAGATTGCGAAGCCCATCTGTCTATTTGTAATTTGATTTATTTTTATTCCCCAAAAAGGTATTAATAACAAGCCTATTATATTGTGAAAAAAGATTGTTGTATTTGATTTTATATATTTACAACTCTGAGCCTTTCACAAGTGATTCCCACGTCTGTTGTGTGGCAACTTTTATTCTCTTATAAAGCCTAAAAGAAAAAAAGTTGATTAACTTCCTGCCTCGTTGGGATTGTAAAAGTCTGGACTTCCTGCCGTGGTTGTGTGTGCGTGTGAGTGGACAGCCTTGGTCTGGTGTGTGAATGTACTGTGTGTGTGTGTATGAAAAGGAGAAAGAGAGTGGAGGCGGCAGACCCATTTGTTCCTGATCAAAGTTGAAACCACTTTCTTTTTCAAAGGCACACCAAATCAATCTAAAATGATTGCTTGGATGATTCGCGGCCTTTGTTCTCTGTCTGTGTTGGGGGTGATTGTGGAAGTAGCCCTGCTTGTTCATGATAGCGTCTTCCAGTTTTTCATCAGGTTAAGGGAGAAAAATCCCCTTGTTCATTTTCCTGATTGATCAACTAAACACACCAACGCTATTGTTTTGTTATAAAAACACGTCCGAGGTTCGGTCCATAAAGTCAACGAGACCAAATGGATCCACGCGTGCTCATAAAACCGATGGTAGTATATTGGATTTTTTACTTTGCAGCAAAGTTCACTTGGGTTGGAACCATGACTACTATATTTATAACCGTTTTATTTATAACCTTAATTCAGCCAGGATTTTTTGCAATTGTAACTTTGGATCCACAGCATTGTAAGTAAAAACACAAAAACACAGATCACAGCAAGAAACAGCTGACCACAACAGGACAGCTCACATGTAAGGGACAACACAGAGAAACAAACAATTGCATTAATCAAACCAATTAGGCACATTTAACATCTTCCATGCTTTTGAAAAAGCATGAAAGTAAAAAAGAAAATGCAAAGTGATGATGAGGAGGCAGTTTATTTCCTGTGTGATTCCAACCCAGCGTCACAACCCCTGAGCTCCATTAACACATTTGTGTTAATTCAGCCAAAAATGATACAATCCTTTGAGGTTCTGAATCCAGCACAAGAGAACTTTGAGCCTCAGGGAATCAAAGTCTCAGAAATGTTGCCCTTTTCAGGTATTAAATAGAAGGTTTAGAGGCATACAGGACACACTGACTTTGTGAGGACTATTCTATACCTGCACCTTCAGTACAGGTTCTATATAAAGTTGTGGCTTTGTGATAATGCCACCCACAGGAGCCCATGTCAGTAATCCTTTTATAATGTCACGTCTCTGTCCTTCATCCCGAACGACCCGGTATCCTTTTCAGACACTTGGGAAACGTACCAATAGCCCCCCCCCCCCCCCCCCCGGTGGTGATTCTCCTGGGGAGGAGGGGCGCGCCACAATTCTCTCCTGTTCAGAAATTAAAAAAGCACTGGGGCGGTGGCAAGCCGGGGACATCCAAGGCGCAGAATGGAGACGGCCGGCGCCCCCAAGGCAACGTGGCCCCAGAAATTGGCTCCCAACCTTCCGCCGGCGCCCATTGGAGATTGGAATAAAAGCCCCCAAGGCTCAGTAACATAACGAACAGCTGGTGAAAACTCCCATTTCCTGCTACATCTGGGACCCCCGGAGAGCTTCTCTCTCACCCCGTCAATAGAAATTTCAGAAATAATGGAGCATAGTTTCAGTCTCTGTGGCTTTTTATGAACAAGTCAGAACTGGGCTGGAGCAACTTTTCATGTGCTCATGCGATATATTTAAAGGAAGGAACCTCCTCGCTCGCTCATCCTTTCCCATGTTGTCTTTAGGAGCCACTGTACCTCACTGTGTTTTCTCTGATCTCGTGAGCCGCGGGCAAGTTTTATTGTTTTTACTGTCTTCCTCCCGCCGTGTGCTCGTTCCTGTGATTCACAACGAAGATTAATACCCTCCAACGCATCGGATTCAACTGTCACTAGATTTGATGTCGTTTCCTTTTAAAACACACAGCTACGCGCCTCCGCATAAAATTCCATTTGTGTGATTAAACCAATGGCTGCTTCAGTCAAATAACCATCGGAGTCCCAGCAGCTGTTCGCCCCTCAGCTCCCACGCGTCCAACATCTCGTAGAGCTTGATACTACAGTTCACCTCTTAGCCTTCAGAGGTCATGGAAGGAACCCGGAATAAACACTTTGTGTCACCTCTCAGTGGTAGTAATGTACAATGATGAAGATGAGGATCCTTTGCTAGGAGCTGCGGGAAGCTGCTGTTTATTAACAGCAATTGAACATCTGCCTCTGTTTCAACAGAGTCCAAAAGGTTTGCTGAGTCCTCTAAGTTGGCCAGAGGAAGTATTACAGCTGGAAGGAAACATCAAACCGCCCCCTCCACTACCTATCGACATTGCATGATGCACGAGCTCCTTCATCGTCCGCAATGGCTTTCACCAATTAACAAGTCGCAAATTCAGCAGAAACAATGCCCCAGTATTGATATCCATATTTCCACATGCAATCCAGTGTCAAATGAGAACCAGTCCGCTTAGCAAAGAGGATTAAGTTGACTGTAGTTCATTTCATGGCTCAGTGTTTATGTGTAGAATTGCGGATTAAAGGACTGATCCGCAGATTTAAGCCCAGAGAAAAGCGCATGGAGCTGTACATATATTCCTCCTCAGCTCGTCAGGGGGTCAGCGAGCTCAGACAGAAATCTGTACTTTACATCAAGGCCGCCTGCGGCGAGAGGGCCGGCAGGTTCAGAGCTCCGCTGGCGGTAGACGGAAAGCACGTGGACAACATGGATTTGTTTGTTTGGATGCGACCCAGGCTGTCCCCCCCCCAACTTCCTTTTACCCCCTTCTTTGAACAGCACTTTATCATTGATCATGAAGGTCACGATCTCTTTTCTTCCCCTCTTCCAACTCTTGGACTTTTCCCCAAAGTGCCTGAGGTGAGATTAGCAGCTAATCCATGAAAGGTAGCGGATTGGTTTTTCTCTCCCTTTGACTGTTATTAAAGAAGGCTGTCCCGAGGTGTGCGTGTATGCTCGCTGTACATGTGTGCATGCAGGGTGCGTGTCCTTGTTCTAATCCTGTGATAACCAGACCCGGGGCCCCTGAGGAGGAGCCGGGTCCAGAAGAGGGATGAAAGGATGGACAGGGGGCCAAAGGTTGGGTGGCGGGTTTGAAAACGAGATTGGAAAAAGGAGACTTTCAGTCTGACGACTCGAAGGGTGCGGCGTGGGGGGAGGGGTCTGGATACACCCAATTATTCAAGCGCCGCATTGGTGCTTAAGATAAGCTGCGTCCAGGGCTAATGGGGGTCCGGTTGATGAACAACAAACATGCTGCTAATTAAAAAGGTCTTCTTTTCTTACAAGCAAAGATCATTTACGCGTTTTTCTGACTTCCTTTCTGAATCCTTGAGGTCTAATAAGCAGGTTAAATTCATTTCCCTTAGCAGAGTCAGTTAGGAAGAAAAAAACATGTACTGTTTGTATCCAGGTTTGAAACTTCTTTCCTGCATATTTTGGCCTTTCACCAACTGTAGCGTAAAAAACAGCTGGGCTTTGCATTATTTCACCAAACAGCGGCTGTTTTTTGCTTCTGTAGTTCTCCATCCTTTCCGTCAGTCACGCAGACGAGTTTTCACTCCCGAACGCATCAGGAGATCCTCTCCCTCGCGGTCTCGTAGTTGTGAAGCTCGAGTCGAGGTTTCAGGAAAGCAGCCGGAGGTCCGAGCTCGCTGAGGCTGCTGTTGTTTTGGCAGAAGGTGGAGGGAGTCAAGCAGGGGGAGGAACGTCCAGCCCCAGAGAGAGATCCCTGGTGACAGCTTGTTCATAATTGATTGTTTATCTGCCAGCGGCAGTCAGCAAGGAAATACCTGTCCCACACACACACACACACAGAGAAAACACCTGCCGGCTCCGCTGCCCTCTCTGTTCAAACTGACGGCTGGCTGTTCCCTGCTACGGCAGCTGTGACCTTGTGAAAAGAGCCCACTATATTCTCTTTCCCTCTCCCCTGTGCCCCTATTACTGTTTTTATGCCCATGAGCAGACTTTAATTCTGCCCAACAGCAGGAGGGTGTGTGAGATGCAGCAACAAGAGCAGAGCAGCGGGCCCTCCTAAGTGCCCTTCAATCCATCTCACTCACACACACACACACACACACACACACACACACACACACACACACACACACACACACACACGCGTGCGCGCATGCATACATCACACCCTCGGTGGAGGAGCTCATCACAATGTCACTTTCAATTTGGAAGAGCCGGCCTGTTCAGGAGAAATAATGGATTGGATGACGGAGGGGAAATAGATGATGCGGCTCAGGTCTCCTGCAACAAGCATTCACATTTCTGATGCCCCCCCCCTCAGGGGCCGTCTTTCGTTCCTCGTGTGTTTCGCAAAAGCCCCAAAGGAGGTGTATTTAAAAAAGGAAGATTAAAAGAAAATGTATACTGGTGTTTGGGAAGCGGATTTGAGATGTGTTTAATGTCTGAGCGTTTTTCTAGTTGCTCAGGTGCAGCGTGGCCCAGAAAGTCCCTGAAATAACACGAAAGAGGTCAAACTGTGGTCCCCAGATTAGCACTAAGGTTTTATTTGGGTTTTCTACGAGTGTTAACCTTTTTCTAGGAGATCAGCCTGCCTGCGTGTCCTTGTTATCTCAAACACATGCTAATACAAAATGACTGCTTTTGTGTTTTGCACCCTCGTGGGTGCTGATGGAATGCGGAGATATTAAACAACGAAAAAAGAGATTTTCAGAAGGTTAAAACAATAACAGAAAGTTTTCTGCCCTTCTTCTGATGATCTGATGTACTGATGCTCAGTAAGCATTTACTTATCAGGAAGCATTATTTATGTGAATCTCTTAAAAGTATTTTCCTTTTGTGTGTCTCAGAGGGATAAAGATCTGCCTTGGCGGAGGGCGGCCCTTAAATCGCTTGTTCATACAGCAGGACAGATGGCTTAAATGATTTAACTGTGTGGTTTAAATCATCTAACCAGCGTCAGAAAACTATTCCCGTTGGTTTTGCAGTGTGGGTATCTTGGTTTCATTAGGGATTTAACATTTAAAAAAAGAGTTATCTCAACATGGAGGCCTGTTACGGTACAAAACCGAGCAGTGGATTATTAGTGGTGAAACACTAATAATCCGCTGCTCGGTTGTCAATTAAGTGTGAATTTATTATCATCTATTATATTTCTGTAATACAAGCTGTGGGATATGACAAGAAGGCCACTTTATCCGACCATTAGCCACCTGAATGTTCTACTTTCCATTATTTGTCTTATCCGCCCTTCATGAGGACAACATGGTAACAACGGCGCTTTTAGTTCCATTTGTTAGAAACACACATTCAAATATGTTGTACACTGTATGATTTTATAATTCCATTCATTTAACCCGTTCATGTGGCCGAGTTCCCCGCAGGCAGCAGCAGACGTTATTTAGTTTTTAACGTATCGTTTAACATGAGCAAACATTTTTTCTCTTTCACCAATTATTGATTTCCCTGTAAATACGAAGACGAGACACATTTCCTCCTGTTTCGTCTCGCACGCTTGCTGTCTGCGTGTTTATCTCATCCTAACTCTATTCGTATGGTTTGATTTTTATGCTGTAGTCAATCATTCTCCAGGCTTACATGACAGATTTTTTACCACCTTATTTGATGTCATCTCCCCGGATAGAGGGGAAGAGATTTGTTCCCCGGGTCGGATGCAGTATGTGGTCACGGGCTGTAGCCATTAGTCAAGCTTGTCAGCGGCATGTTCACAACAAACCACATCACTGGCTCCACAGCGGCACCAGCGATGAGAGGCTGGGAGCCGCCGTCCTAACGGGGAAGTTTGGGATTGTTTGTGTGAAACTCACAGAAAACATTGTACTTAAACTACAGACCAGGGGCTCATTACTGCACACACGAACGTGTACATACGCTAAGTCATCATTTAGACCAACCCAGACTGCACATTGTGCCAAAAGGACCACGACAAATGACAGCAACGCTTCATCGGGGATCACGACGGGAGATAGAGAGATGTCCTCCAGCCGGCGGTTTGTCACTCCATCAAGTCATTTAATCATAAATGAAAAGCGTGAATAATTACCCGCCAGATTGATCATCCCACTTATTTACAAGGACATCTCTCGGTATTTCATGTTTTCTTCATAGTGCTCGTGTAAAGATGGGGGTGTAATTATGACTTTTGTTTTTAACCATTGCTGTCGTGTTGCTGTCTTTGTCCTCAGAGCATGACGAGTGTCTCACCGGGCTCCACGACTGCGACGAGAACGCCTTGTGCTTTAACATGGTCGGAGGCCACAGCTGCTCGTGCAAACCGGGCTACACGGGCAACGGGACGGTCTGCAAAGGTGAGCAGCACCGCGTCAGCCACGGAAATGAAAAGCATCATTGTTATGGCGACAGAAAGGAAGGTCTTTGCTCTTCAAATAAAATCTGCCACAGAAAAGAGTCTGTGGCTCAAGTTATTAAGAATAGAACGTTATCAGGACATTTTGCTCAGATGTGTCTTAAAATGATAACACGTGTAGTTATCTTCAGTGTTCCATGAATCAAATGATAAATAGCTTTCGATAGCTAATGGTAATGTATATAATCTGAGCATGCATATATATCGTTGGCTTATATTTGAATTGTGCTGCATAAAAGGCTGTGCACAGGTTTTGTGATCACCTTCCACAAGGAACCATTTGAACTGAGAAGCGTTGATATCACACTCAACTCAATATTTCCAAGATAAAGATAATTCTAGTGGTTCAAGCATGTCGACTGGTATGGTCCATAGTCACAGTAGATCCCCATCCTCACATCAGCACCACGCTGTGTTGTGGTCGTCCTTCCTGAAAAGCTGCCTGGGACCCGGGTTTAATGATTCTATGCTCTTACCAGAAAACTGGCTTGACCTTAATCAATCCCTTGATTAGAAATCTATTTATAGGGGAAGCGCAGCTATTTCCTGCCTAAAGATCACTTCACTTGTCGTCAGGAGTACTAATCATCCCGGGAAAACAGTCTTTGTTTTCTCCGGCTCACGGTGTCATGAAACACAAGGTGATGTCAAATGGCTTCCTTCCCCCTGATCAACACGCTGAAACCCCTCCAAGGAATGAATGAATTGCTCTTTATTAAAGTCACTGATCAATTTTGGACTAAATTGTTGGAGCGCCCCATCAACAAAATCTGAAGCACTGCGTTGTTGTCCTTTTGTTTTTGACACCTCTTATTCTTTATTCCGGGGAGGCCGGGGATAATTTGTGTATTAATTCAATTTATTTACTAAAATGACTTCTCTGTGCTTTGCAGACACATTAGCCAACAGTGTGTCCACGGATAATGAACATTTTGAAATGAACCTTGGTGAGATGCATTAATCAAGCGAAATAATATCGTGAGAGCCTGTAATGAATCAACTTGCCAAATTAGCTCTTATTCTCTATGCAAATAGATATGCTGCTGCTGCTGGTCCTGTTACATGGTTCATGCTCGTTCATCTCTGTGAGTAATGGCTCCTCTCGTCTGCTCCGCCTCTAGCTATGTGTGACGGATTGTGCCAGAATGGGGGAACCTGCGTCTCCCCTAACAACTGCGTTTGCCAGCAAGGGTTCACGGGAAAGAGATGCGAGACAGGTAAGAGTTTGTCTTCCTTCCGCTCCTTTGTCCCCACTAAGACTGAGACTGAGGACGTCCTTTATTTATTTAACGAACCAAAAAGAAATGAAATCAAGATCGCAGTTGGTTCCTATGTGATCGTTCTAACTTTGTCTATCCGACCCGAGTAAACAGCTGTCACCAAAACATCTGCAAACCCGTCGATGTTTCAGTGCTGACGATCTGCTATATTCACTGAGTGTGTGTGTGTGTGTGTGTGTGGGTTTGCATCCCATGGTGAATAACGAGCTTGTACCTCTTCTAACGGCCCGGTGGAGGATTAGAACTGTGGTTGCAGCAGTAAGGGAATCACCACATATTAATCAGCGTGGCATTTTTCCTCGTAGGCAGCATGCCACATCCACGTCCCCACGGCACTGCCTCCCGAAGCACAATATCTAACAGGGTGCGTTAAGTCATCCTGTGTTTACAGTATCACCGCCGGCCCTCATGCGCGGAGATACGTCGAACACAACGTTTTGATAAGACTCTTTTTGTTCAGCGTCTTTTCCCGCTGCACTGCCGGAGATTTGAGTGAACTGAGAAAGGCTGTAATCCAGGTTGTTGTGCAGCAACAACCCGCTTCGACCTTTCGCAGAGGATCCTGAGGCCCGAGCTAATAGAAGGTTTAGTCATGACAGTTGTCTGTGTGTGCGCGCTCGTGTTTGAGTGAAGCAAGCGGAGCTTCTCTGCGTGCTCATTGGTTGGGTTATTGATTGCACATAAAGGGCCTTTTTTTTACGAGGCGTCCTTTTTACTGCTTGCCTTAAAGTAAATGGATTTCTTCATGGTGCTGCTCTGAGAAGCTGAGGAAGGGGAATAGTGTGTGTGTGTGTGTGTGTAAATCTGCTGAGAATTTGTTAACACACCTAACCGTAATGACTTCTCATCCTTCCCGTTGTGCAGCAGAGGGTTCTGAGGACCTCGCCCCTTAGTAACGCTGGGGTCCAGGCAATCACACATTTCATTAGCTTCTATGGTGGTTTGGATCCCCGCCGTTCACTCTTTGTCGCCTTCTCTCACTTCACTCTTTTGTGTTCTGCTTCTGGAAAAAAGATCACATCAAATGAGGAATCTTCTAAAACATATCAAAGATTTGACCAAGGCCGTTTCATTCATCATCAGTGTGTTAAAAGTGCTACAAATTGATGTTTAATAGGATCAATTCTTTTTTTTACATTTTTAAAATATATTTATATTTTCATCAAATCAGTCATATGAAGGTCAGGCTTTTGTTCTTAAATATCTCTTCCCTCAAAAAAGAAAATGAATTCACAAAGAAGTCAAAGGGAACATTTTTAGAGTTTCTATGGAGGTGTCAACATGAAAAACATGAACAAGACCAACACACCGGTCAAACAATCGCACACAAAGTGAATTTATTACAAGCTTCAATCATACGCGCGAGGATTTTCACTCACGCTAATTACACCCACACTCAGAAACTGATAAATGTGACAGAATGTTCCGGATAAGAAAAATGAAAACACACATTTATATAATATATACATAGATTATATGCATAGTTTGTTTTGACTAATTGATAATGCTTTTTGTGGACACGGATTGCTTTGATTGACATTTGTTTTTGCAACCTGCTACGATAGATGAGAGCCATTGTAAGTGCTCCCCTCCATAAAGTAGTTTGGCAGTAAAACGATGTAATCGATCATTTGAGAAGACAATGTTAAAATTCAATGCAAGAGAATAATCTTCAAAAATCGTTAATTCGATCATCAAAGCGATATGAAGCTATATGCTGGAGACAGTTAACGTAGCTCGACATTAAGATTGAAAGACGGGGGAAGCAGCCTCTCGACGACGGCTTGTGCTTTCTAAGGAAGTTGTGTGCAGCATCAATGTAGAACGTGTGGAACTAGAATGTGAGCGACGTGTTCCACTGTGGGTACCCATCTCTCCACGAATACAGCTGTCTCTGTCTTAATCACACCATGAGGGGAATAAGGGGATGAAAGATTGGTGGCTGAGGGATGTTTTCTACCCCCCCCCTCGCTCATCATCGAGACTGATTACGATTTGAGGTACACAAACAAGCGCTCGTCGACGGCACGCTTCCTGTGCCTCAGGCGGCGAGACGTTTGTCGCCACAGCTGCCGCTGCCAGTGAGCGTCTCTCTGCTGCCTCTCACAATGTGACTCCTTCCTGTCCTCGTTGTCTCCGGGACAGCCGCCCATCCACATGGGCTCCGTCTCTCTTCAGGTTTCGTATCCAGGACCATCGTCACGGCCCCCCCCGAGCTACCGGGACAAAGCCTCCGGCACCGTTTAGAGACTTCACCAGTCAGTCAGTGTGATAAGGGTGGGGGGGGGTGGAGATGGAGATGTACGGAGAGAGGGACAGATGCAAATTCGAGGAGGGAGATGAACGGCCAGTACAGGTCAGGGGGGGGGGGGCGGTTGAGAGGAGGTGAAGCGGAAAGCGAGATACAGAGATGTTGGGGGAAACTGACAGATGCAGGGACGGAACGCAGAGCGCCACGAGAGAGACGGATGGCGAGAGGCAGAGGTTAGCGGGTTTTCTCTGCATTCGGGATGCGGAATGAGGCCCGGTGGAGTCGGTGCTGGAGTCGGAGGAGGAGGAGGAGAAGCGGAGCTGGGTGGATGAACATGGAAAAGCTTTCACTAAGTCTGGGCTCCCCACCCCCCCCCAGAACCTTGTGAGCTTTTAGAAGCCTCCCCAGGGACTCGAGCACTTCTGCCGCTGCAATGGCAGACTGACGGCCTGTCATAAGACACCAGGAAGTTCTTCAAGCCACACACACACACACACACACACACCTCGTTTGTGTAACACTTCATGTACATTTCAGTCCGAAACATTCATTAGGTTGCGTGTTGGAATGGAGATCTTCTCGTGTGCGCTCGCCGGCTTGTCATTACCATTCCGGGGGAACGGATGGGGGAGGGACAGGGGGACACGCTTTGCTGACGGACAGACACCAGCTAGCGGAGAACTCTGACACATCATGAATTATGCAGGACACAGCTGCGGCCGGGCGCACACACTTCGCCGGGGATATAAATGTACGCGGGGCGAGCCGTGTAATGTGCGCCCCGAACACGGCGCATGGTCACTGTGGAGGCCCGGAGGCTGCTTCCATTCCTCATGCGGCTCGGGGAGCGATGGGCGAAGGGCTGCAATGTGAGGTTTGTTTTTTAGAAAAATGGGGCGTCCATTTTCTTCCCCATAGGAGGAATCCAGACACAAACTTGCAGCTTTGCCGTTTGGATGTCTCCGCACTGGGTGCGCGTGCATAAACGAGGAGGACAAAGCTTTTGAAATTCTCAGAACATGCAAAATTTATGGCCATTAATGCAAATCCAAGATTTTAAAAATATTTCCTTCAAAAGCAGGTTAAAGAAATTCTTCTTTTCCGTTGTAATTTCCATTTCCCTTTCATTCCAGCCTACAGGGCTATTCATCTACACATTGGTAAAAGATATTCACTCATGTTTCATAAAGGGCTACCTAAATAGACCCGCAGTAGCATTGATAACAGTATATATAAAAGATTATATCGAACAAAACTAGAAACGCGTATAATAAACCGTGTCTTACTTGCATCTCGTAGCGATAGCGATAGCATGAGGCGTCTTGTAATCTACAAGTGTTAAATTCTTTCAGAAAATAATTTGCAAACGTGAGAATAATTATTCAGAGGGTTCGACGATGGTTTTAGCTTCGGCCCTGTGAAGCTTTTCTACGAGCCGATAAATAGTTGGAGATAAGATCTGCGAGCCGCCCCTTCTGTCCCGGCCTCAGAGGTGGTTTTATTGACTGAATCGCTCCACTGTTTCTCTGAGAAGAATGGGAAGATGGCGTTTGCATTATTTCTTTTCAGCTCATTATCTGCTCCTTTCAGGCCCCTCTCAGCTTGTTAGGGCGCTTTATCGCCAGTTAAAATGTTCTGTCACTACGCTGTCAGCTGGGAAACTAATGGCCGTCCCCGCCGTCCCCGCCGTCCCCGGCTGGCCTCTTGCTGGCTTCTGAGAGGGCCGCTGAAGGGAGACGAGCGTTCGATCGGATCCTGTGGACGGACACCTCTCTCCCTTCATCTGTCCACGCACGCGCCACCGAATCACAGGGGGGGGGTTTGCATGAAGCGTGATCTTGGACAAGGAGACGTTGATCCAATAGTTTAATGTTAATGTTTCAATTTAGTGTTGTGACTCCGGTCAGAGACACCTACTCAGTACGTTTCTGTTTTAGTGGAAACTCGTTTCCTCAAGTCGTGATCATTTAGCATGCAGCCCACTTCATCACGGATGATACTCTGATTACGAGACCGGACAGTGGGGGGAGTTCTTTAAGGATTAGGGAAGATGAGTTATAGAAGCAAGAGAGAAGTGAAGTTTGAAGAGGACATAATGCAGAGAAACAGCATTTAATTGGGTGATAGCAGACGAGAGGAGATAAAACCCGAGGAGCAGGAAGACAAAAAAAACAAGGTGATTCATAACGAGATGTAAAAATGGACGAAACTACCAGCGAAGAAGACGGGGGGGGGGGGGGGGGTGAGCGGACGGCCAGTGAGTGCATAAAGCAGCTTGGGAGGTGGTGAGAAACAGACGTGGAGCCCCGAGGCCCCGCTGGCTTATTGACGAGGACAGAGAGCCCAACTGGGCCACACAAACAATTTGTTCCCTCAGACCTCATTTACATCGACGTCGAGCTGCGGGAAGCTTTTCCGTTTGAGACAAAAACAGGCGACGACGCAGATGGAAAAAAAACCCGACTGAGCAGACGGGCTGACACGAGCATGAAGATGAATAACGATGAAACGCAGTCAGGTGAATGCGATGAACGTGGATAAAGGACAGAAACATGCTCAGCTGTTGTAGAGGTTTACACAGGGAGAGCCACGGCGGGTTTTACACAATGGAGCCTCGTCCTAGCTGAGATCTCCCCCGGGCGCCACCCCACCCCACTCGGGCACGGCTAGTGAATTTTTAAAACAGTATTCATTTTTTTTTTGCACCCCGTGACAGCTCCCATGATGCATTGCTGCTGCTCTCCCTCCTCTGCCCCGCCGATTCATCCACACGGCCCGGGGGGAGGGGGGGGGGGGCCTGTGACCGCCGAAGCCCAAGCGGCTTGTTTAAGCATCGTGATTATGTATTCATTATTTATTTAGGGACGGCCTTGCAGAGGCCGCACTCCATCACTCCTAATTAGTGCGTCTTAATTACCCCCCCCCCCCCCCCCCCCCCCCCCGCGCCCCTTATGGCCGGAGCGTTGTTGTTTCTTACCTACACGCCCGCGTTTTTGGAGGTTCGCGCACTGGACATTGGACCAGCTCACACGTCTTTAAGACGCATCGGAAATTCATTCGGCCCCCCCCCCCCCCCGTGGCGCATACAGGTCCGCTCTGAACATTGGAACCATCTCTCTGCTCATAAACCAGTGTCCCTGTCTGTGGGTTCATTATGCGTCATGTTGCAGGCTCGATAGCTAATAGGACATGTAGGTCCACTGTAGGACATGGAATGTCCTGGTCGTGTAGGTGCTCCTCTGTTCCAGCTTGACCAAATAACCTCAGCCATGTCTTCCCTCTGTCTTTAGAGGAACATTTACACTCAGTATTCATTCCTGAGACGGACTCGGTAAAGAATATTTCTGATAAATCTATCAATATATATATTTTGCAACCATAATGCTGATTTCTGATGCTGGTTTTGATTGCAAATATCAGTTGAAGGGTGGAGGAGTTTCACAGTGATTGCGTTCCGTCTGCGCTTGCAGCTACTGATGGTTCACAAGGCTTGTTTTCAATTTAGCATTATTACTCATCCACTCTGCGGCTCAAGTGCCTGCAGATACGCCGTTTGGCGCTTCAGTGTTTCATCTTCAGGAACTCGGTGTGTAACTCAATCTTTTCTTTTCATAATGATTGATTGGTGAGCGATCGCTCTTTCGCTTAATGAAGATTGAGGACCAGTGACAATCACTCAATTAACTTTAAAGATCCGGGATTCATTTCTTACCAATTGTCTCTGTGTCACGTACACGCCGATAAAAGCTTGGTAGACATTATCATCGACTTCAAAAGGTTCTGCTGTCTTTTCTCAGCCGTCACAGTAAACGTGATCCGACATGACAAATTCAGCTAATTTTAAAATCCATTCATCGTTAAATGGCCTGCGACTTAAGAGCAGGAGGTCTGGTTGAGTTAAGATCCAGAGATCTTTGAATAATGCCCCCTAGTGCATATCACGATTTCCAGGATGAAAATCCTTCTGAATTAGGTTACTGCATGAGAGATGTACGTGGGGTAGCGCTTCCAGTGATAGAGAACTGTACCGCGACCCCCCAGGCTGCCTGTCAGTCAGAGAAGGTGAAAGACATGGGGGGGGGAGGAGAGATAATGGATGAAAGCAAGGAAAAAAAAGAACTGAGAACTGCAGCTATCCAGCATCCAAATAGGAAAAGCATGAAGTGGAGAGGTTGGGGGGCAACGGAAGGGGGGGATGAAGAGGAAAGGTGAGGGGGGGCTCTGTGTTTGCCTGAGTCCTGGAACAGAGATGGAAAAGGGGGGACACGAGGAAAGGCGAAGGCAGAGGATGAAGAGAGGGAGGAGGAGGTGAAAGACCGACCGCTTGTCTTGATTGCAGGCCGCCAAGCAGGCTAACCGCGGCCCGTCTCATCTTCCTCCTTCTCCTCCTCCTCCTCCTCCTTCCTCTTCTGCACCTCATCGAGCCCTTCCTCACCTTACTCTGTTCGTGTAGGTTTTTTCTCTTGACAATTTCCAGATCTTTCAGTTGACAAGGTAACTCCAAAGTAACTGCTCCTCCGTGGCCTTGACCTCTTCAGGAGATGGATTCTGAAAAAAAATGCATTTTCCTGTGTGTGTGTGTGTGTGCGTGTGTGTGTCTGGTCTTTTTGTTCTTAAGCAGAGAAGGAAAAACATGCCATGATTTGACAAGTAAAAATAAATCCTCCGCCTTCCACGTCCATGATTCAACTGGAGCCTCATGACTCAGTGGAGACGGAGCTTTCAGCCAGCTCCCTTGTCTGATTGTCACTGCTGATGATTTAATTACAACCATCTTGCATTATCCTTTGCGCCGGATGATAAAGGAGAAGGCCAGACTTTTGGAAGCGTGTTTCATCCACGCTGCAGCCCACACATTCAGTCCTCCTGAAACGCAGCCGCACTTCAACAGTTGATTCGACAGCAACAGCGTCAGTTTGGGATCGACACAGCCGAAACACTGAATCTTTTGTTGAGGGTGTAGCCCTCCGTTGTCATAGCCACACGGTCACGTTTTAGAAGACCTGAATGAAACTAGCTGGAAATAGCTATGTGCATATTTTTAGACTCCCTTCACCATCCGTGTCTGTTATAAATAGTATCTGACGGCTCAGTTGTACTAGTTTCATGCAGGACGAGGACGATCCAAACAAATTCAGCGTCATCGTTTTGTTTTTCATACCAGCCATGCTTTGCTTTAAAAGCTCCGTCCTCTTTTATCACACTAATATTCACAAAGAGCACAGGAGTGGTAAGAATTGCTACTCCTTTTTTAGAGCTTGTTAACTTAAGTAGTTAAGTAGTGTCCTGTTAAACCCAAATTGTTGACCTGAGGCGAGAAAATGAGGTGCTCTGTTCTCACCAAATTGATGTAATTAGTCAAATGTGAGCTTTGGCTTTGAAGCCTGCAGAATCTGTTTTGAACCTGGCCGGGGTGGAAAATAGGGAGAAAACAAAGATATGCAGCCGTTTTTCAAGCAAACCTCTCAGACAAATGCAGGTCGTTTTTTAATAGACAAGGCCCTAATCTGCAGGACATTTCATCAGCAGTTAATCTGCTGCCGAAATTCTATTAAAAGGCTGCAGGCTCATTAGCCAATAGATCTTAATCCCATTACTGCCTGGGCGGTGGGGGACCATGAGCCCGTCTGTCTGTCGCTGTATGGGGGATACTGTTGCACGCAGTTGAGGAGAAGGTCAGACGCGGCACACGGCCATTTTCATAATGAGAGCAGAGCATCATGCATCATGCACGAAAAACATCAGACTGTAAAGAGGCATTTAATCACGGTGGATGTCTGGGCCTAACGTATTTAGCGCTACTGCATAATAACTGGCATTATTTCCTCTCGCGTTTGCCTGGCCCTCAGTTTAATTAAATGTTAGCTGAAATATCAGAGCAATCCGTCTCTCTCTGTTGGCTTTAGGGTCGTTGTTGGAAATGATATTAGATTTGTTCTTGGGGCACGTTTGCAGAAAAGTTGCCCGATCCCTGGTTGAAATAAAAAGGGTCGGATGTTGGGCTCCTGTAAACAGATACGGGAGTGAGAGAGTGAAGAGAGACGCAAGGGAAGAAAAGAAATACAGCGAGGGGAGCGTCAGAGCATGTAATCAAAGTCTTTTACTAACGACAAGAGGAGGAGGCAGAGTCAAGGATACTTCTAAGTGGAGCTCTGTGCAAATAAACATGAGCTCCATCTATTGACAAGCGCCCACGCGACGTGTTGGAAGCGGTGTTAAAGCCCTTTCATGAGCTTCCCCACACGTCACCTCACATTAACTCCTTTTGTCCAAGTGAAGTGCAATAAAAAAAAGTGTTTGCACACCTCAGAATTTGTGTGTGAGCCTGCATGTTTTGGATTTTGGATTCGTTTGAGTATTTTTGACTGGAATTCATGAAATTCGAGCCCGTCAAATGTATTAGAGGAATTCCTCCGCCGCTATCTTTCATTTATACACGTGTCCTTTTCCGATCAATGAAGCCTACGGACTAGATTCACTCGTTAGACATGTCGTTGTATCAATTAGAAGTCGGTCAATGTTGAAAATGCCTTCCAGACGACAATGGAGCTCAATAGCGCATTCACTGTGAAGCCATAGAGACTGTGTGTGCATCTCTTGTTCTTCTTTTCAGATATTGATGAGTGTGCGGACGGCTTTGTCGAGTGTGATACTAAATCAACTTGTGTCAACTTGCCCGGCTGGTACCACTGCGAGTGCCGTGACGGCTACCATGACAACGGCTTGTTTTCCGCCAGTGGGGAATCGTGTGTAGGTGAGTGGTCCACCTTCCTCCTCGTAGTAATAGCACGTGAAATCAAAGTGAAAAGAGAAAGTATTGCAATTTTAGGATTGCAGCTTGGAAACGTCTAAAGAAACCTCTTTTCTTTTGTGTGAAACGTAAAATTGCATGAATGTTTCAAAACACGATGAAATAAAATTATTCTTTTCCATGATAAAACATTTCATTTTGTGTGCAGATTTTTAGTCACATTACCACTAGATTCTTACTGAAAGAAAGTTTAAATTCTGGTTGATTTTTCTTTTTTTAGCGGTTTAAAGAATATGAAATGAATGAAGGACTACAGTTAAATCATCACAATGCCACGTTAATAGGAAATATTTACCATTAAATGGTCCCCGATAACATATTTCATCACAGATTAAAAAACATTTCCTTTGATTTCTGGATTATTTCATGGTTCAGGGCTCGGATAGGACTCCAGATCAGAGACTGACAGAGGAGATTTAAGTTGAAAGAAGATGGTCCCTCACTGGTCACCAATAGGAATAAAGAAAAAGAGCTCAAAGCAACTCCAACGTGTGTTCATTAAAGAAGCACGAGGGATGGATTTAAGGGGTTAAAGAAGCAAACGGAAAAAGTCCCTTTGTAAATAGACTTCTCTGAAGTCAGCGGCCGTCAACAGATGTCTCTTTTTGTCCCATGAGATGTGTCGTGAACAGTCGTACGATCGGGTAGGTTTGGCGTTATCCGTGTGCTTTCCTCCTAAACCGCCAGTTTGCCGCTTTCTCCTTTTCTGTAACATTCTGTCTGTGAAGAAAAGTGTCGGCTGTCAAAATGCAAACCCTCAATCTACAGGAACATGGAAGCGTTGCCTGCATCAATAGTACCAGCTCTGCTCCGCTCGTTGGCCTCATCTGGCCTGTCAGGATCAGTTGGCAGAGGCACAAAAAGAAAGCGCATTAAACAGACGCTCTCAAAAAGAAAAGTACCTGCTTCACAAAGCAAAGTTTGAATTTCCCAAAGTTCCGAGTAACATCACAGTTATATACTGTAAGTTTCTACCGAGATGTATACACCCGAGGACAAAGGTGTACTATTCTGTAACTGGACATGCTCTCTTACCTTTTGCATGTTAGTAGTGCAATTATTATTTTTAAAATGACTTTCAAGCCGTGTATAAACTGTGCTTCTGCACTGGACGTGCGTGTGATGTCACCCTCTTTGTGCCCCCCGCAGATATCAATGAATGCAAGACGGGGCGGAACACCTGTGCCAACGACACGGTGTGCTTCAACTTGGACGGAGGCTACGACTGCCGGTGCCCCCACGGCCACAACTGCACCGGTGACTGTATCCACAACAACAAGGTCAAGCACAGCGGGCAGATCTGGGTGCTGGACAGCGACCGGTGCTCCGTGTGCTCCTGCCAGGTAACAGACGGAGACGGACGTGTAGACCACGTAGCGGGACGAGCTGAGGGAGGACGAGGCAGATGGACGGACGGAAACAGACAAAGCTGGATGAGCTAAGAAAAGATTGGGAGGCAGATAGAAACGGAATAAATGTGGAGAGTCGAGGCAGGGTGCTCCTTCGCACTGTGAACTGGTCTGTGATCGAGTTTTCTGTTCTTTGTTCATTGTCAATTCTATTCTAGTATCTAAAGAAAGAATTACAAACTGTAAACCTCTGTGAATGATGACGTCTCCCACAGTGCCACTCAGCAACAAAGTCACTTTCAACCGATCCGCCGCATTCATGAAAACGATTGAACCACCGAGGAAGGGATTTATTTAGTTAGACATGGCGTGACTGCATGAACGTGTCATGCCGCCCACAAGTAGAATGTATTAAAACCTCAGCTGGAAAAACGGCTGATGACTACTGGCTGCTGTGAAGTGGTCAAGAAGAAGAGACGCTGAGAGCTGCCTATGACCAACCTTCTGTTGGCGTCTCTGACCCCATGTTTCGGTTCGTTGGCCCGCAGAAGGCAGCGTTTCTTCAGCTGAACCGCTCCACAAACCCGTCGGTACAGGTGCTGCTCGCCTGTACCGATGTTAGCGATTCAATGAAGCCTCCAGCAGATGAAGAAAAGTTGGTGGAGCCCTAAAAAGAGCTAAAAAGAACAACTCCAATTTAAGCAGAATCAGAAATAAAGAAATAGGGGTTGTTGTACATGAAAAAGCGCTCTGAAAGCTTTCTCGTATCTATTACAACAAGCAATGTGTGTTGTTTGTGTTCTTGGAGCTAAACGTAGCTGTGCAGCCCTCGGGGGCCCAGGCGTTTTTTTGGAAAACGCTGTGATGTGATTAATCAAATCCTGGAGATGAAAGACATAAAGTGAGCGGCACAATAAACGTGAACGTGACTGTGCTGTAGAAAAGGAGGCCGGTCCTGCTGTGAGAGGTGCAGGGTGATGCTGTGAAGGTGCAGCGGAGTGATTTAGGCGTTCGATGTAGTTGCGTCGATTGCTTTCTGACACCTCAGGGGCACGGCGTTTGGGAACAGGTGCTTCAAAACCCCGACGCTATCGTCCTAAACACATTTTCTCTCTGGTCACGGACCACTCATATTTAGCATTTCAGTGTTTCACTCAACGCAATGCCAAGTGTGTGGCAGAAGTGAAAGGTGATTATAGAGCATTAGTGTCGCATTGTGAATGCTCAAGCAACAAATGATTCATTTGATTACAAAGGGACCCGGGCAGAAATGGCTCCTTAATTAATACCAGTCATATTAATTGATTTGTGAGATTGAAGGGCTGCCAGTCAAAAACGAGTTGCACTGAGCGATTGACGGAGCAACGGGGTAAACATGTTGTTGTTTAGACGGGCGCAGCTGGATATCGGGTGGAGAGCTGCGACTAACCCATGGGGGGAAGCCAAGGTCAAACATGACGGAGAAGACAAAGGCCGGGATGTGTCCAGACTGAGGTCATGCAATATGCAAATAGTTCTTTCAATCTGCTCGCAGCACCATATGGGTGGGCTTTAGTTTAAGAGTGCATCGTGCAGTGTGGCAGCTAATTACTAAAACATCTCACAAATGAAGCTACTTTTAGCTTCTGTGAAACTATGTATAGCTGCAGCTCCAGGGCAACTGGTCCAGAAATCCTTAATGAGGTGTAATATGTATAATGTAATAAAGCTGCAGAAAATAATATTTGGACTTGCAGGTATAAACGTGTGTCTTTCTCCAGCCATCTCTCTTTTATCAATATTCTAATAAAGGCATAAAAATGCAGGTTCAATTATTCATTCATCCACCAGCGTTTCGTATGTGTCTGGAACAATCTGTACTATATTTATTACCTAAGATAGTTTCAGATCAGTTGTGACTGGGAGGGAAATGTGGAGTAGACAATTCAGACCAAGAGCGCTTCGTTGAAGGCACCTTAAATGTCCGAGACTCGGACGGTGTTGACAAAAAGTCTCGCGTGTCTTTCCGTCAGACTCCTCAGACATAAAACAGAGCTTCACATCAGTTGCTAGGCTACGCAGCCTTTGTTACACCGCTGATCATCCACATGCACATTTAAAGATCCCATTCAAACGAAGTGGCCTTGTCTTTGTGTGTGTGTGTTTACGCAATCTACCTGTTTGTCCTCTCCGCTCAGGCCGGTCAGGTGATGTGCCGCCGGATGGTTTGCGACTGCGACAACCCCAACGCCGACCTGTTCTGCTGCCCCGAGTGCGACCCTCGACTCAGCAGCCAGTGCCTGCACCAGAACGGCCTGGTCACCTACGGCAGCGGGGACACATGGGTGGAGAACTGCCAGCAGTGCCAGTGCCTGGTGAGTAGGAGCGGATGAATGAACGCTTAAATCCAGGCGGTGCTTTTATCAGGGCGATGCGGAATCAGAGCAAAGACTCCGTGGCAATGCTCGCAAATGATAGAGGTGCGGTGTAAAGAAAGTCAAAGAGAGAAGTTTGGCATCGAGACAAAGGGATTGATGAAGAGGCCAATGGGAAGGTTGCAGAGAGGAGAAAATGGGTGAGTGATTAGTGGGATTTAAAAAAAAAAACTCAAAAGGCCCCTCTGCTCTGTTGTCGGCTGTGATGGAATTGCACGTTTCATTGGAGGACACGTCCAAGGTGGAGCGAACGGGAGAAAGTGCGTCTTTGTGTGGGCTTTGAGAAGGTTACGTTGATTGATGAGTATTTGCAACATTTGTGTTTTCGACTGTCCTCTACACGCCGTCCTATTTCTCACGCGAAACGAAATCACATTGTGTTCCTCGTATAAATCTTCAGCCGTGAGACACGTGCGTTGTTCTGTTTGTGTTCGTCTGCGGTGTCGACCTTTGCACAGGTTTACGAAGCGTAAATCCTTCTACCTGCGATTCCTCCCTTTTTGTTAGCCGTTACGGATACGGAAATGCAAATGTCATCCTTTACGTTCTAGCACCACACACCCACACTGGTGTCGCTCCTTCTGCTCAGTGACGCACAAACCATCGTCATCTCAGACGACCACTTTACGACTCCATTCTTTCCTCCCATTCCCCCCCCCCCCCCCTTTTACTGCTGCTAAAGATGAGCCGTACTAAGGGATAGAAGTTTGCTCCACTCAGATTCATGGTCTGAGAGGCAACACTAATGCCATTTACCCCGCGCCGCCCGGGCCTGCCCCCGCTCCACCCGCCACTCTAATGCTGCCCCCCCCGCCTGCCCGGACCCCCGGGGCGAGATTCCTTACAGCGAGCCATTGTACACCCGAGCTGGAAAATCAGCGCTCAGCTGAGAGGCAGCGAGGAGGCCCGGGGGCCGGCTGGAAATGGGCTCGCTCGGCTCTTTCGCTCTCGCTGAGGCGGCGCACACTGTCGCCACGCGTTGACACAAAAAGGACACAAGCACATTTGACAATGCAGTCTCAACAGCACACGCGTGCTGCGGGTAAACAGCGGGGGGCCGCAGGAACATACAGGCAAAGCAAAAGAGCCCCAGCCGCGGTGCGAAGCGCAGCACTTGAAAGGGGGGGGCGAGGGGGAGACGGCTGTCGCGGCCCCAGCACGCGTGACAGCGACTGGAAATGAACCTTGAATGCTGCGACACTCAGCAGAGCCGTGGCTGTCCGGGCTCAGCGGGGGGGGTCCTAAAATACACGGCGAGAATCATTCTCCCGAGACCAAGATGTGAATCCTTCTATGCAATCATTTGAAATCAAGCACGTGGCCTTTGCAGAAGGGGCACACATGGGCGCCGTGTGATTTGCTGTCTTGGTAAGTCACCAGTAGATCAAAGAAGCAAATCTCCTCCACCGTAGGATTCCCTTTAGGGCAGGGCGGATAAAAGAGAGCCTGATTACATGCCCACTGATTCCCGGCCAAATGTAAATGTCACCAGTTTTAATCTACTGGGGGCTGTTGGTAACAACATCTGTCCGAGCAGAAGCAGAGAGATTAAATAACAGATGACGACTGAATGCAAAACCTTCTATAATATCACAAAGAGGTGAAATAACGGCTTCAGTTTTAGGTTGATCGCGTTTCCACGGCCTAGTATTCTGTGCAGAGAAAAAGATCATGTCCCTTTCCCAACGTGGGACGGATACCTGAGGCTACATTCAACCCCCCCCCCCCCCCCCCCCTGGTTACCAGCAAAGAGTGCCACTCGGGGGGATTTCCCAATTCAAATGTTTACACAGCACACAGATCCTGGGAGTGGGCATTAGCCCCGTGTGAGCCTTTCCTTTATAGCCTAATTTACTACAACATTTCCAAAATGCTGAGCCAGACAATTTTCAGCCATATTAAATATGCCCGGTGGGACACATCGAGCCTGCTGTAACTTAATGCGTGTGTGCCTTTTGTGTCTGCGTCTGTGCTTAAACATATATAGTCTGAGGCCATGTTTCATTTTCAGTAGCAGTGGAAACACAAGTGGGCCAAGGCATAATGATGCAGCGTACGCTCTTTTGGATGTATAAAGATATATATATCTATATAACCTGCTTTCTCAGGCCAATAGGAAATGGCAGCATGGGGAAGCCACTGAAGCTTTCCATCCTGAGAGTTTGCAATGATTTAAAACGGGAACAAGGATGAGAGAAGAAGTCAGTGAAAAGGCATTTTCTCGGAGTCTCTGTAAAAAGAAAATGCTGACAGATTGTCCTGCTCATCTATATTTCCTCGGTACCTTAACAACTTTCTTTTTCATTATCAAGTGGAGACGCTCCCTCCGGTGGTAAATATACAGCGTCAGGAGAAATATGTGCATTTGCATGAATAACTTGTTTGGGGCTGGAAAATGCAATTGTATTATTTTAAACTTTAAACGGCCTCGCTCTGCCTCTACAGCAGGGGCAGGTGGACTGCTGGCCTCTGCCGTGCCCGCCCGTGGACTGTGAGTTTACCGTGGTGCCCGAGGGCGAGTGCTGTGCCCGCTGTGTCACCGACCCCTGCCAGGCGGACACCATCCGCAACGACATCACCAAGACGTGCACGGACGAGCACAACATCTCCCGCTTCAGCGGCTCCTCCTGGATCAAACACGGCACAGAGTGCACCCTGTGCCAGTGCAAGGTGAGGCGCCGGCCCCGCCGCAAGACGCAATACGGCCAATTACAGGTCGGTGGCAGACGAGACTCCAGAGAAGCGTCTGTGTTGGGTCAGGAAAAGGCAGAGTGCACTGCAGTCTGCAGATTCTGCATCTTTCACACCTCAGGACAGGCATGTTAAACGTGGTGGTAAATATCTGTAGGTGTTGATTCAGCTGTCTGAATCTGACAGAAGCCACGTCACCACATTTAGTAGTAAAAGAAAACGGACTAAATGAGTAAGTGTCAATCTGCTTTGTAGACCGCACATCATTCCATGTGAGGGCGATTGGCAAGAGAGAAAAAGGGATATTCGTACTCCAAGAATAGACCATCTCTTCTCTTCCTTTAATCCAATTGACCTGAAACGTTGGACAGAAACGGCCCATCATGTTTCGGCCTCTGACTGAATGACATGTGTAGAGATCAATGCACAGAGATCTAGAAAACCAACTTGCATAATTGGTTCGAGTAAATCAGCTGGAGAAATTTGCTTTCCAAAAGTTTTTGTTTTCAGACTACTGGCACAGAAGAATCGCTAGAAAAATAAACCATGCAGGAAAATATCCTCTTGGTTATCAATTGTGAGCATAAATTGTTTGCCTCAGCTTTGGGACTAATCCCCAAAGACTGACTCCCCAGAGTTTTTCTAGGATGGAATATTTTCTCTCCGCCTGCATCACAATGATGTTTACATCTTCTAAGAACGATGACGCCCATTAAATGTATACTATCTGTCAAACAAATGCCAAAGACTTCCATTGAATTCCAATTCCAATATGGATTAGTTATTGTAAAACAGGGATTTAGCACATGTAGTTTAAGGACTTAAATAGCGAACAGAATCTGTATTCTGCACCTGCGAATAACTCGTATGTTAAAATGATGCATTCACACACTTCTTTGTCTTCTCTCTCCTCTCACTTCCAGAACGGACACATCTGTTGCTCGGTGGACCCCATGTGCCTTTAGTCCAGGCGGATCTGAAGGTACCTGTACAGTGTTCTCCATGTTAAAACAGAGTAACACCACCCTTATGTCTCCTCACCGTCCTCCTCACAGGCGTAGGTCACATAGTGTTTGCATTTTTAGGATTTGATTTTGCCTGCCAAACCAGATGGGTGGGGATTACGAGCCAGTATCATTTATCAAAAACATCATTGTTAAAATACAGATAATTATACAAATTTAACCGTCGGGTACTTTTCCGATTTATTGTGTGCTCCACTTTGTAAACCCCAGCCAACTGAAATCTCGTGCACGTCCAGCGTTAACGGTGTTTTTGCAAATACTCTCTGACCCACGTCTGCCCCTTAACCCCTCTTTATACCAAAAGCAGACCTATACCATACCAAACAGACCCACTTTGTCCTCTCCGTCCACTTGACAGGGACCCCTTAGGGATCGCTGTCCCCCACTCTGCATCATGGCTACATAAGTCTGTAAGATATTACTATTACTGGCATGACTGTGCTTGATGTCCAAACATTTTAGCTGATTTCCACAATCGCAGTGATGATGATACCTTAGATAGAGTAGGCAGTTAAAGGCAGTTAAGGTTCCGTTGCCACATTTATGGATCGTCTATATTATGTGGTGCTTTGTAGCGTTTGGTCCCATTTCTCTTTTCTTTTCAAGCTTGTTATTGTGTAATAGTGAAATAAAGTATTTCCATTTACATTTAATTCTGGTCTTTGCCTCATGTATGAGTGTATTCATTGTGTTTGAAGACAACATACGTTTGCCAGCTTATTGGGTACATCACCCACCTTTATGAAGATTATAATGTTCATGTTGACATTATTTTGTCCACTCCTTTTATATCCATGAACAGAAATCATTTATTTACAGTTTTACAGCCCCCCCCAACCATCATCCCCCAAAATGATACAAGATACTGACTGGAATATCAGCACTCATTTAATTGGCTGGATATAAAAATATTGGGTTCTTTGGTGTTGAATAGTTTTTATCAAATACTGGAAATAAAATGATAAATATGAAAACACTAGCTTTATTAAAGTTGAACACGTATTTTTTGTTATTGACCCTACAAACAACAATATATAAAGCATTCCTATAGTAGTCCGTTTGTGTACCACCTGTAATCTTATACTAGACTGAAGATTTCTCATTGGATCGATTGATTCATGTAAACTCAATAGGTACAATCAAATTCATGGCTTTCATAGATTCAATACTAATGTTGTTGTGACCCAATTTTGGTTGTAAATTGTGCCCCTTGTGTTGAACAAACCAAGAAGAAGCATTGTAGCACACTTATTCCTCTCGTAGCCACTTTGTCCCGGGCCTCTGGAGATGGTAGGGGTACTTGTGTAGCAGAAGAGCACTTATAGCTCCTGATATCATTAAATAATATATAGATAGCCAGGGACATATGAGTTCAGCCTTGAGCTGGCTTTAATTCGCCGGCGGAGCTTCTTTTTCTCCTTGCAACTGAGTCTCCGAGTCGAGGAAGAACAACAAACACCCAACGCGACAGGGCCTACTACTATTACTCCATCACACTCTCAGGCAAGACTTCTTTGCTCGCCCTCCCCCTCGCAACAGGATAATCTTTCTACCTCTCTCTAAATTCACTCCCCGAGTTGAATGATAGGGCCGGGGACGGGGGCCGGGGACGGGGGGCCGGGGACGGGGGCAGGGGCAGGTGGGCGGTTTTCAGCGGCTGCTCGTAGGTTGGCGAGGGCACCATCTGGCCTGCTTTGGTCCAGCGGCTTCTAGCTGGTGGTGGAATGGCTCCGTGCCACCACCTGAGTAGCGGTGGCACAGCAGGGCCCACTGGTCCTCCAGCTGGCTCCTAAATGTCCAATTTTCTGTGGCGGCGCTGAGCCGTCTGCAACAGATGCCGGGACCCACAGGGAGTCCACTTTACTGCCTGTCCTATATTCGCCATTAATGACTATGCACATATATCACTGTGATTGTGGCTGGCAAAGCCAGGCAAATAGTACAGAGTTTAAATAGATTAGCAGGCAATGGTAAAGTGGTAAAGTGGTAAAGTGCTTCGAGATGTTATGTTTTCAGAGATCTTCAAATGGCTTTAATTGGTCTGTGAAATGCACTTTGTCGTTAAAGAGATCTCTGTGGAGAAAGCGAGAAAGAAAAGCCTCTTGCAATGGCCACGCAATTGGAAAAATACAAAAATACATGGACGTATTCATATGTGTCACTGGATTGACTTGAGTGCATAAACCACGCAGGGCGTCAGCCAGTATAATAAGGCCGGTCACTTATTTCTTTGTACAAAAACACACACGGAGACAAGTACAAAAGCTCCACAGCCGCACAGTGCCTTCGTTTTTATGATTGTAGGCAAAATAAGCAGGATGCCGCTGATTCTCTCTGCTTACATTTATGGCATCTGTAAATATGGACAATCTTTTCATCCGTCCTCTCCAAATTTAAAGAATGACAAATACATGTAAAGCCTGTGTTGTGCCTCGTATTCCGTGGCTCTGATTTGGTTTGCTCCAACACTAAAATACCCCCCAAACTACTGGATTTATTGCCATTTCACCGTGATGACATCTGTGGTTCCCGGATGATGAATCCTCAGCACTTTGTTGATCCGCTGATTTTTCCCGTTGGGCCTCCATGAGGTTGATACATTTGTTATTTGGTGTAATACTTCAACAACTTTTAATGTGCCCTTCAGGATGAATAATAGCTTGACCCAGGACTTTTTCATTTAGCAACATAAAAAAAAAAAAAAGAATCTGCTAAACGAATGATCAGCGTGTGCCAATTAGTAAATCTCAAACTGGCAGTGCACTCCAACTCTTATCTTAAGTCACATCATACTTGGAAAGGGAAAGATCTACAGTATAATTATTTATTAGTGGAGGAATGTGAAGTTATGAAAAGTCACGATTAACCTCTGTCAGATCATTAGTATGAAGTACATAAACAATAAATATGTGTGAGTGTGTATATTATCATATTATATTTAAAATTACATTTTCTTTTGTTTGCCTTCATCGTCCAAGCTCACGATGAAATATATATGCATATATATATAAGAAGATGTATAAGAATATAAGAAGGTTTCCAAGGAAGAGAATGAAATGAAATGCTCACAAAATAATGTGTTTGACACTATTGCAGCTCTTTTGCAATGGTGCAGCAGATCTCTTGAATCTGTGAGTCCTCCACATTTTATGAGTCCGACACCCCCTCTTTTATCCTGTGCCTTGTGGGCCGAGGCCATTCCACAGGTACAACACAAAAAGGTGTAATGAATCAGGATCAGATAGCGAATGTAACTGGATGTTTCAACCGTGGATTCTATCTCTGGCTGCTACAAAGCATTGCCGCTCTGCAGCAGTCATCACTATATTCTTTTCTTGATGTGACAAAAGAACGATTACAATGAAGCGAAATCCCCTTTTCCCCCCGTGGAAGAACATATGAAGGTAGACATCATTATCACCAACTCACGTCTGGGGATTCAGTCCCCCCAAGTGAATTGTTGAGAAATATATCCGAGCCACGTGTTCCTCTGTGAGGGATCAGAAATCCTGCAGAAGAAATGAGAGAAGAATTCTGTCTCCCTGGTGGCCACTGGGGACGGAAACCGTCTCGAGGTCAGTGAAGGGACGGAGGGGGAAAGCTGCTCGCCGGCTGCGACTGGCTCGAATGATGCATTTCGCAGAGTGACGGAGCTGTCAGCACAGAGTGATGGGCACACGCCAGGACATGATACACTGATCTAATTGGACGATAGCTCAAAGACAGTGGAGGAGATTACGACTGACCTGTAGCTGTGGCTCGCCTCCTCTGGGGGACTTTTCTGGTTGTATTTCGCTGTTGAGCGGTTTAGTTTTTCAAAACTATTTGTTGTGTCCTTTTTTGATTTTGTACTAGAAGACGTGTTATTTGAGAGTAACCCGAAATGTCACAAAAAGGGCCTTCGGAAAGATCCAAAGACGGGTGAAAAGAAGCTCGTTGGGTTTGAAAGCCAAATGCAATCAATCACAAATGCTCCCAAAAGAGAAATGCATTCATGGAGGAGGTCCTCAATACGCCGTTAACACAACGCGGGCTCAGGGCCTCAACACCCACAAACATCAATGGAAATTGTTTCCAATGTGTTCTCTCAATTATTGAACGCTCCACCAAAAATCAATATCTCATCTCTCAAGCCGACAGCGGACTCAGAGGAAGCCTCACAATAATAATCTCTGACAATGAAATATATTTCATGTTTTATGGCATTTAATCTTTTTATGGAATTTTATAGCATTTCTGCTCAATGGTTTCCATTTTCAACGTTTTATTAATGCTTTTTTTTTAGCAAGCTGTAGTATAACATTTTTATGAAGGACTATGCTAGGAGGTTTAAAAGGTTTATGACGCACCATGACATTTTTAATAACATTAAACATTTATGTGCTTTTTAAAAACCTTTTTTAACTAACAATGCTATCAGATGCTTTTGGTACATACAATCTGTGACTTTTCCTTTGAGTTGCCTACTTCATATTCTACTACAATGACTTCTCATGACCTTTTATACTGCGACCTTTCATGTCATTTCTTTCAAAGATACTATGGGATACCATTGTTCATAGCTCGCTATAACATGACCTATTTAGGACATGGCAATGATAAAATAAGAAAACTGGGCTAAAAATAGATTTCTGAGATGACAGCAAAGAGTAAAAAGTGGGAGCTGAATCCAGGCCAGTGGGCCTGGGAATGTGGAGCACACACACAAACTAAGTGGACACAAAGTTCTTTTTATCCCATTTTGCTTCCATGACTTACGACATGCTGTGTGATTACATGTATGACATATTCACAGCCCGCTGATGATATGTATATACTTGACATACTATACTTTTCATGACCTTCCGATAAACCAAAATGATAGTATGGTATGTTGACCAAGGACCATAAAGTCTATCCTTTCTTTTCATGACTATACTATGAATACTAATCTATTAAACATAATTGTTTCTATTCATTTTGGCCCATATTTGAAGCACAGGAATAAAATCCTTTTCTTGTGTAACACAAAGGGGCGACATCCACATGTCGTTGTGCAACTCTGTGCTGTACATTGACAATAAATTAACCTTGAATTTGAAATTGACAGTGATTAAAGTTAACTAATTCATGCAAAGGCAGTCAACAAACTTTCAAGAAGCCAAAGCGAGCTTATTGATTCGTTATGCCTCATTAAAGAGAAAATTAGAAATGTCAACCTCCAGTGGCGCGAGAGTAGAAATCTAGGGATCAACAACATTAACATTTGTACTTTAGGGAACGTGAACTTCTTTACGAGGGTTTCATTTTTGCTGAAATACTGACGGTCAGATCAACTGCATGCTTTTAGAGTGGCCAACATATTAAAGTCTTTCAAGTTCCTTAGAAATAACAATTAAAGCGGTTTTCTGTAGTAACCTGTAACAAACACATGTGTATGCAGGCTGAACATATTCAAGTGTCCTTGTGAAGATAGTGTCATTATTTCTCACATCGCCCATAATAATTAGGTCAGCAGCTGCAAGAAGCTTGACCTGCCCTGTTGCTTGGCAACAACTTCCAGATCTTACAAAAAACTGTAAAGTAGAACTTTCATTGCTAAATGAGTCGACAACTTTGTTCTGATCATTTTTGAAAATCAAAGTGGCCACAAGAATACGGAGATTACAAAAAGATGTATAGATTTATTGGTAACACAAGGTTTAAAAGACATACAGCACGCTGAGCAAACACCGTACACCGAGATTTCCTGTGCGAAAAAAAAAGCACAAACACCCAGGAACTGATGGAATAAAAACAGTTTGAACAACGAAAGAGGAAAAGCTCACTTTAAACTGCAACACATTACGTTAGAAACACAAAAGACCCTCCTCAAGTCCACAGAGGTTCCGCCCTTTGGTGAGACCCCAAAACCGTATTTCCTCGTAGACCTGTGACGTATAGAAGGAGGATCAAAGAAACAATTACGCCAATAAAGTGACCTCTTCACAGAATGGCCTTTGTCACGAACAAGGGTAGCAGTACATCGCCGCACACACACAATCGCACACTCAACATGCACTATTAAGTATAAAACATCCTTTACGGACACAATCTACACACACACACACACACACACACACACACACACACACGAGTCCAGACTGTACCACCAGAACAAGTTTTACAGCTTTACATGTATGAAAGCACTTCTTAAATATTTAAAAATGGTTAGAAATGTCTTCATTATTAACTGAACAATGAGGGGAACATGTAAATGGTGTCTTTATAGACAATTTAAAAATATGTTGGCCGATGAAACAAAGTGCCCCCCGGAGCGGAGAATGGCTGAATGCTGCTGAATCATTACAGTTAACACGTACAACAGACAACATATCTTAAAGCTCAATTGAAACGCAATGCTGAAATGAAAACTGTAAATGTTAAAGCAGGACAAATGTTGATCTTCTAACCATTGTTATTTTTACTTATAATAAATGTCAGCAAATGTAATATATATATATATTAAATCCGCAGACATTTATTAAAAATGGCCTTCTTGTCAAATGTATTCACTCATTTTAATTAAATGCAGCAGAAGTGTGTAAATATTCTGGTGGTACCCCCCAGGGTACAAATACTTCTCTTCTTCTTCTCTTTGATACTTTTTTTGGAAAACCATTTTCCTAAAAAACTATTGTACATTACAGTCCATTATAGTGCAGAGTGAGAACACTTAATATCATTCCACTCTGTTATTCATGAATATACCTCCATTAAATTTGCATTACATCGTATGCAGCAGTATTTATTCAAAATAATGTAGTATTTGGTATAGTTGGTCCAATTTCTATGCAGTAGAAGTACTTAGTGATATGTGCCAAACATGTAGTGAAGTTGGTATTTGCACTATTATGGACGTAAAGCTCCAAATATTATACGTATACGCAAGACTTGTAAAATCCAATGTAAATACAAATGCAGCAGGTTTGAGTTGAAGCATCAGGATAACGGGGAACGAGGATCATGTTTTAAATAACAACCTGTAATGTAATAAAATAAATACTTTTTAATGCATTCACCGTGCCTGAAAAACTATTTCTAAAACTTTTTGGATGTATCCAGACATGAAGAAGCCCTGAGCTTTGGAGCAGAAGCCTCCCTGCACTTCAATGGCCCGTTTATACCAAAAGCAAAAGCACCTCTGCTGGTATTCAGCCCAGGTGCTGCAGCCTCAGGAGCACTGATGGAGTGTGACGTCACGAGAGAATAAATGAAACTGAGAAAGTCTGAAGATCAAATGTGGGAACGATTGTCTGCGTGACATGAAAGCTGATAAAAGACTTTGATGTAGTAGAATGTAAAGAGGACATCTTCCGTTTGGTGGCTCATAATATAATATACTGGATGTTTCGACGGTGTCTGAAGATATGACATATCAAGGCACAAGTGTAGCAGTGATACAATAAAATCCACTTGACTGCAGTGTTAAGACTGTAGAAACACTCTTCTGATATAGGCACCAAAATAGTTTCCCGTGACAAAATTGGATTATGAAAATGCAAAATCCGATCAAGCACCGTGTCGATTACAAGTTTGCATTCTGTTTTTAAAAGTGTTTGTTATAAGAACTTGTGCCGCATTAGAGGCTTTCTTAAAAAGAGTGTTTTACAAAAATATACTCAAACAAATGCGACTGTAATCTCATCACATCACTTTGCCCTTCTCCTCAATCTCACAAGCATTTATGGCCGACTTCTCTTGCAGCTTTGGTGTAATCCAAAGAAAAGTGACCTTTTAAAAGCTACCGTGACCTCCCGCTTTCGACCTGCCCACACTTATGTAGTCCAAAGCTTCAGGAGGTCAAAAAGGTCACGGAGAGAGCTCGTGGACCTCAAAGGACACGGCGGGCTCCTCCCGCTCGGCGCTGTCGATCACGATGCTCGGATGCGTCTCTTGGGTTTCCATGGAGATGGTGGAGTGCGTGGAGGGCGTCGCTCCAAAGTGCGGGCCGTCCACCGACAGCAGCATGGGCGCTCCCGCCCTCTTCAGGCTGTCGCTCATGGTCATGTGCAGCTCCTCCGGCGTCACGCCCATCTCCTTGCTGTACTCCGACGGCGACTTCCTCTTTATCCTCTCGTACGTCTTGTCTTGGTTTTCCGGGAAGGTCTCGCTGTCCTGAAATCGGCCAAACAGCCAAATGAAAAAGCCGAAGAGGACGAACGCCGCCAGGCTGGGGATGAAGGCCAGGCACTTGACGTCCAGGCTGGATCCAGTGTAGCGGCTGTGGAGGAACATGTCGCGCTCCACATAGGTCAAGTTGCTGTCCGGGTTGATGTTGGTGGAGCGCCACGCGTACGTGAGAGTGCTTCGGTTGAAGAAGACGAGCGTCTCCGGCTCTTCCACCGTGAAGATCTTCTCCCCGGGCCCGACGTACTGGCCGTACTCGTAGGGCTGGTAGAAGATCTGGTTCTTCCACATGTTGAGGTCCAGAATCAGCACGAGGAAGATGATCCCGTAGTTGAACCACTTGCCTGGAACGAGACCAGTGACTGCTGTTAGATGACCAACGAGGCCAGACAAAGAACCAACGCGCACGCTACGGATAATTCAACAGAGGGGCAGATGGATGCACAGCGTACAGCCTCCTCCCGACAAGATGGAGGGCAGAGTCAGACGGGTAGATGCTGTCACCTTCCTTTATAATGAATGCATACAGCTCCCGCATTGAGACGCAGATCCATCTGCAGGTGCTCCTTCCTTAACAGTATCTTCTAACGAGGCAGCCATCTCCCCCAGGTTGACTGATAGCAGGCAGATGTCTCGCCTTCCTTTCCCTCTGAGATGTGCCGTTAATAAGCTTTTAGTTAAACCAATCACGTCGCACCGCAGCCATTTCCATGATGCCTAATGGGTACGCGATGCATTAGGGTTAACAACCTCCCCGAATCAGCTCAACATTTAGCACAGGAACATTGCTTTTGCCTTCTCTTTATGGTCGTGGGTCGGCGTGTGCACGCAGCGGAACAAAATGGAGGAACTGGGAAAATGCCCTCGCCAGCCGAGAACATTAAGCCACAGAGATGAGAGATGAGTCTCGCTCGGCGGGCCGACACACGAGGCGGAGCCACCTGTGTGTCACATCAGCTACACATGTATTATAAATGGTTGCTGTGGTTTAACCATCAAAGTGTTTCCCCCAAGGAGGAAAATGGAAAAGTAGAGCAGGGGAAACTTTTTTGTTGAACACAATACAACTGAAAAATAGGTCAAAGTAGATCTTTTGATTTCTTTTTTTTTTTCTTCTATTTAATCAGTTTATGGAAATGGAGGTTAATTGATTTCAGTCGATGCCGTTGTCCGTTTGTAGCACGGTACCTGTGATGTGAATGTGGTACTCCTCTTTGAAGATGCTCTTGCAGACAGGAAGCTTGACCTTGACGTGCGTCGTTGACATTCCTGGTAGATTCATATCCAGGTCACCCATGAAGTGAGGGAACTCCCAGTCCTGAAACACACACACACACACACACACACACACACAGGCATATAAATGTATGTTGACTGTGATGCGTAATGTAGCCTCAGCTGTAAAAAAAACACAAAATACATGGCATGTCAGCCGTGTATCGGCCTTTACTGGGTGAACTTTCTCATATTACCTGAGCTGAAGTCTCTGAAATCTGAAATACACGTGAGAGGCTGAGAACCTTTTGGGAGCATTTCTTTTTTTCAAAATCTATGTTCAGTGAAGGCTATTTATTTCTGTCCGTTTCTCTAACAACCACCAATATTTGAAGGTGTGTGAAAGAATGCTGAGCTGTAGAAAGGATTCCGTTAGGATGTGGTAAGAAAGGAAAGAATGTAAGTACAGACTTTTCCAAAATAGTGCTCTTTGTGGCGTAAATGGCTTTGTAAAATTTCATGAACTATTTCCTTCAATTAAAAATGTAAATGCCACAGTTGTGAGAAGCATTAGGATTCAGCTTATAGAGACTAAGCTGCTAAAGAGCAATACATGTGTTTTTTTTTATATATGCTCAAAAATCTAACCTAACATGTGTAATTGTATTTAGTGACTTTAAACTGTGTAACTAATCAAAAAACACACAAAAATGTTTCTTTCTAACAAGCTTTCTTAATCATCTTGCAAATGAGCTTTTATCATTTCTATTACAGAAAAGAAAACACATAGAACAGCTTTGATTAGCTCCGTTTCCCTTCGCTTCCTGTTATTTGGACAAAGGTCGCTGTATCCTCATGTGATCCACAGTCTCCCCAGCCACCATCTATGAGCTGCAGAGCAGCTTGGCGATGGCGCCCTGGATATTAATGAAGTCCTCTCCTCTTCCATAGCTGCAGTAACTGTGGCTATAGCACTACCAGCCATGCACCTCCCTCCACTAGATATTAAGCCATTGACAAAACATGCAAAGGAAACGTATACCAGAAGGGTGCATCAACATGTAATCCACATTTGTAAGTGTGTATTTACATATGCAAAGCACACATGTCTCTGACAGGAACAAACTCTTCAATTATACACAAAACTATCGAAATAGTAAAACCCTGCCTGGAGGCAAATCCACACAGGTCAATAATTGGGATATTAATTAGTTTGAGAACAACAATAACCATCTTTTCTCAAGGAGGTGAGAGATTAACCACGGCGCCCTGTGCGCCACGATGGCGCCAAAATGAGGTGGAGGGAGGGGCTACTTTTGTCCGACACTCTAGTGGTGGAATGTAGCGATGACCGCCAGTGTTTGGTCCGCGTAGCAGCGCAGGCTAACTCGACTCATGTCCACTGTGACGAAAACCAACCCGCGCGAGCATATCCAGGGTCCAGATGTCTCGGGGAGTCAAACGGAGAGAGAACGTGTCCATTGGGTCAAAAAAGGCCGGAAAAAAAAGCCTCAGCAACAAGACACCAGCATGTTTTTCCGTATCCGCATGATCACAATCAGAGGGGAAATTAATGAGGAAAAACACCACAGTGAGAAGTTATTTGGCCGGGGCAGCCAGAGGCAGGAATTGTTCCAATAAATAAAAGAAATCCCTTCTAGTTTAGAGTTGTGTATTCGTTACACTGGAAGATGTTCTCCTATGCGGTTTCTTGGTAATAACCACCATCCACAGGGTAGAAATGTCTATTTAGGAGACGTGTCCTCTAATACCCCCCAACCAGACCTTGTGAAACATGCTCAGTAAGTATCTGGAGAGGCCGTGTTGAATTAGGCTCTCAGTCAAGCCGCCTACGTGATTGGCTCCGGCTCCCGGCTGAAGGTGCAAAATAAAAAAAAATAAAAAAAGACCTTCTCTCACTCTCTTCTCTTGAAAACAGGTATGGGTTTGTTTTTTTGTACAGACACATTTGCATATTCATGAGCCACTGACACGGGCTTTATTGATGTACACCCTCCTGGGGGAGCAAGGACATCGGGTGGGGGGGGAACAGGTGGAAAGAGGAAAAACTCCAATCTTGTGAGTCATCATTAAAGAAAATAAACTTGGCTCACAGGGGAGTAGGGGAGGAAAGTGTCTGAGGTCGGGGAAACAGAGATGGATGGACGGAGGGAGAGGGGATGTAAAAGAGTAAACAACAGTTAGTATTTATCTACGCGTGTGTGTGTGTGTGTGTGTGTGTGTGTGTGTGTGTACGTGCACGAGCATGCCAACTGATCAAACACCCTGCTCTGTGCCGCAGTGCACAATTGATGAATTGGAGGGATTGGAACTGGCAAGATGGTAAGCCAGGAAACCTCCAAGCGCCCATTTTTTTTAGTTTTTTTTTTAATTAGCCTCACGGGAGAAGTGTACCTGCATGACAATGAGAAGGTCGAAGACCAAGATGAAAGAGGCCAGGAAGGCCCTGGAGATCTCGTCGCTGGGCAGGAAGCCTCGGTTCAGGTTGTCCCAGCTGATCCAGTCGGTGCTGATGACCAGCACCACTACCGACGTCAGAGAGATGAGCACGGTCCTGCAAGGACAGGAGAGGGAGAAGGGAGCAGGAGGAGAGATAGGAGAAGGGAGCAAAGGAAGAGGAGAGAGGAGAGGAGAGGGGGAAGGGAGCAGGGGAATCGGTAAGGACGAGGCAGGAGGAGAGATGGGAGCAAAGGAAGAGGAGAGAGGAGAGGAGAGGGGGAAGGGAGCAGGGGAATCGGTAAGGACGAGGCAGGAGGAGAGATGGGAGAAGGGAGCAAAGGAAGAGGAGAGAGGAGAGGAGAGGGGGGAAAGGAGAAGGGGGTGAGATGAGGAGCGGAGATGAGCGAAGGAAGGAACGAGGGAGAGACAAAAGAGAAGAAATGAATTAATGAGTGACACATATTAAAAAGTACAAAACCTAGAAAAACGCTTAAATACAAGTTGAGGGTTTGAAAACGACGCGATGTGATGTATGTCAGGAAGACAAACAGCTCCGCTTCCTCACCCACGTCGAATACAAGAAAAGATACAGCAGGTTCATTTGATTTGTTTTTTTATGTTATTGAACAACAATTTTACCTGCGTTTGAAAAATGGCAGCAGATAAAGATAAATGAGCATAAAAGAAATTGGTCTGTTTGGAGGAAGCAAAGCGAAACCTTTCTGCTTTAGTTCCATATAGTTCCATATTTAACAGGAGCCAAACGACTCCATTGGCCTGCATGCTGCGAACGCAGTGTTCGGGAGGTTTCTGCGTCGGCTGCTGACTGGGAAATGCCTGAGCCGTCCGGGAGGCGGGTGTCATTCTCCACTGCGCATTGTGTCCCAATGTCACGCAGTGATTGCCGTTCGGCGGCGTGCGCTCTCCCGACACGCGTTCGCCGGCTGCACTGCGGAGAGCGAACGCCGCCTCGTATCCCATTTCAGCTGGCAGGGAGATGCATTTTAGTGTGGTATTACTCCAGAAGGGGATTCCATTCATACCATTCAGCGCATACTGACAAGATGTATCCAGCGGACCATTTATCAATCATATTTCAAGCTGTGAATTTCAAACGAAAAGCTCACGGAACTGGGGCATCGATTGGGACGGCGGGAGTCGGGTCATCCGTCAATGAAACGAAGACAAAGTCAGAACAATTCGACTGCTTGCATTCTAAATAGCGGGGGCGGGGGGGGGATGTTAAACATAGCGGGCAAACAGGGGTGTGAAGCTCGAGACGCCCAAGTCTCGACCTCTGCGTGTACATTTCAAACAGTTCCCACCGCGTCCTTCGCTTCTCCCGTTGACCCTCAGACGACCGTGTTTGACTGACAGCTTTTGGTGAATGAACGCCACCACTGGCGTGGTTCATCACAACGGGGAGCGTGTCCTAATGGCCATATCGGACGTGGTGTGCAGCATTTGTTGAGCAGTTATTTAAAGGGTCACAGCTTGTGGCGGGAGAAGTAAAGAGGCGGGGCCCCGTGACCTCGCTGTGTTCATCGATTATCGCCCTGTTCTTCTAATTAAAGGTGCTGACACTGAGGGAGGGAAGATTAACACGGCTATTGACTGCGCACAACCCTGCAACGGGCTGAGGAGACCACGTGACCCACACATATGTGCACACACACACACACACACACAACAGAGCCTATGGCATTTTAGTACGTAGGCAAAATGGATTAAAAAAAAGGTCTTAAAGACGTGATGTTTACTGATTTGTATTACTGTGTCAAATGTGTAGTGTTATTAAAACAAACAAGCAAAACTAACTTCTCAAGATCCAAGAAAAGTAATATATATATATATATATATATATATATATATATATATACCCCCCCCCACACACACACACACACACACACACTGTGACGATTTGGTTTTATTAGAAGTGTGGTGTCAGAGTTTATCGACGTACCAGAAGAGAACAATCCTGTTGTTGCCTTGCTTCCAGAACCTTCTGGCTGCTTTGCCCCAGTCCGGGTAGTGCTGATCCTGAAGCATCATATCGGTCACCTGCAGGAAGGAAACATTTACTAAATTATTAATGAAGAACGGAGGTGGAGGAAGGGAACTTTACCTTTGTTTCCCATTTGAACGGATCTGGATCCCAGCTAAAAAAAAAAAAGTCAAAATTGCATATTTCCCTTGATATCTCTCCTTAAAGCTAAATCATACATGATATTAGTGCAATCAATGCTTTGTTGAGGCGCTTTCCGATTTACTTCTGCACAATAAAAGCTTTTCCAAGTGTAGTGTGAAGGAGCTGCACTGAGCTCCCGCCGTCGGGGGGAACTGGGATCTGATCTGAGAGGCCGGACCAGTAATCCACGTCTTACGATTAGAGACACACATTGTTGTCCAGGTCCTTTTGGTCAGCAGCTCATGTTAAAATCACCGAGAGAAGCACATCTGTTTACCGAGTGGAACACATTCATCTGGTCACCAATACCAATTTGAATCATAAACAGTTTTAATTACAACATTATCCTAAATGAGGAACAATTCTTCAAGTTGTGGATACAAACAAGACGTGATTACATGGTCATTTATGTTAGGATATTAATTGATAGTGAATAACACTTCATCTCTGATTAAACACTAATGAGTCTGTAATAACCTTCAATAAATATTGACTTGTTTAATTATTACTCATGTGGAGCTTGTGTCCGTCTCTCTCCCCACATTCATCAGTCGCTGTGAACGTTTTCACATTCTTCATCTTAACGTCCTTACCAATAATACCTTTTAAGTGAATACAGAGTTTATCAGAGAGCACTTTGAACATGAGTATAATAATCCCCCCATTATACTCTGAGCCGCGCCGCTGCAGGAGCGAGGTCAGCGCGGCAGTAAAGCGCCTCGCTGCAGTTGCCGTAGCTCAAGCGGAAGACGGGACTCCAATCAGAGATGTTTCTGCCGTTGCAGCATTGTGAAAAACGGACAATTCCCGCTCGCTCATCTCGCGGAGACACTCCGTAAATCTGCCAGGTGGAGGAGACACGGAGGTCATCTTCAAAGTGCTGCGTTGAATTAATCGAACGTTAAAAAGCCTCGTGGATGATTTCTGGAATCAGCACTTTGACTTGGCCCAACTTTCTCCCTAACACACACACACACACACACACACACACACACATCTCTGTCTCCCTAATTCACCTTCTCACTTGCTGCTTCCTCTCGTCTCCCTTCTGACCAGACTTCTACATTTCCCTTTCGCCCGTCCCCTCCTCCTCCCTTCGCCTGTCTCTCTTCCTCTGCAGTATGTACTCTGGAATACTAATGTGACCGCTGAGGGAGCTTGTCAACCCGTCAGCGTGTGCCAGAGAGCCCCGCCCCCCCCGCCACAGGTAATCCGCTCCCGCTGCAGCTCTCCTCTCCTCTTCTCTTCTCTCCTCTTCTCTCCTCTTTACGTTGACGAATGAACAGAGGACGGTTTCCTCCTGCAACACTGTGCGTTCATTGTCTCCTCTGACCCGCCTTCGATCAATCGCATCTTACTCTAAGGGTTTGGTAGCGGTTCAGAGAATACACCTGACCTCGTAATTAGAGGAACGCCGTCCCGGTTTCGTGGAGGTGGTTTCAATTCGCCCAGAATTCCCATTTGCGAACGTCGGCCTCTGCTTAGCATGTTGGTGCAGCATGCTAATGCTTTGCAATTTTGCAATGTGATTATTGAAAATAATGTGATTATTGAAAATAGTTAATAAAATAAACTCGATTGAAAATGTTGAAACTGGATGATAATTAAGGGAATCCCCAAAGAAACTAAGATTAGTGTTACGGGAACCATGAATACCTTGAATATTTCCACATAAACAAACATGGCGCCAAAGCGATCCTTTCATATCTGCACTTTTAATAATGCAAGATGTAATATTTCCTTTCATAACTGCAGAGGTATAGAATGTTTCTGGAACCTCACCATCCAGGCGGTGACAAAGTCTCCCATCCACGTTCCCACTGCAGCAATCTTCATAAAGCTCTCGTTCCGGATGCCCATGCTGTCCGTCACCATGTGGGGCCTGCGAGGACACAAGGGCAGGAGTAGTAAAAGGAGGCGGGAACCCGCAGGACGCAGATGGAGGGAGAGTCGGCGCGGGACGAAGAGAAAATGCTCACTGCCGCTAAGCATCGTGATATTAGCTGTCAGAGTCGATCAATATCAATCCGACCCTGTGAAAGCAATGAGCGATGGCTCCGCCCCGAGGATTGTAAACTATTTACACCGGGGCAATGGAATTCATGCGCTTCCATTTGGTCCGGTGGTGTTCGGCAAATGATCCATTTGTTTGGCAAATTTGTCTCGCGTCTGCTTGATTCCGAATCGACACGGACGTCCCGAAGAGAAGCGGACCGCGGACTAGGTTAAGACATGCCATTAGAGACGCAGTCTGATGGGAAAGGACAGAGTCCTACGCACGCAGTCATCGCGGAAAAGTAAGGGAAGAAGAGAAGCTTTAGCTCTCACACACACACACACAGACACACACACACACACACACACACAGCGCGTCCCTCTATTTTCTCCAGGTAATAGCGCGGGGAGGGAGGCAAAGTGGGTCAGTCGCCTGCTATGCGGGACCTGCGCCGGGGGGAGGGGAGACCTGTTTGATCTTCCCGGCAGCGAGTGTCTCAGAGGCTGAGTGGAGCAGGTGGGCACCCATCACCCCCCCCCCCCCACCCCCCCAGGGGGCCACTCTGAATATAATAGATGGCGATGGATGGGGCTCCGGCTGTGCTTTCAAAGGGTCGCATTTGAAGTCAATGGCTCCATTCGTCTTTGGTTTTCACCCGGTCATTTCCTGGCCCGCCAGCAGACACCAATACAAATGTTTCCCCCTGCACAGGGGGCTCCGGGGAGGCTCACCTGCAACCTGCTGGTGTGCGCCTCACGTCCTCGCTCCACCAACGCTCCCGTTTCCTCTCCTTTAGCCGACCGTTCACTCTCTAAATGAGTCGCCTGGGTAACGCCTCCAAGCTACGAGCTAACGCAGCAGCTCCAGTAGCTGTTCAGTGTTAATTGCTCATGCCTTTTCACATTACGTATGAGTCTAGACCTGAGAAGCACAACAAATGCTACAAAAGGCAACACAAAACAATGCTGATGGATTGGGGCAAACCAGTGACCCAAAATGTCCACGCATTCACTGCAAATCGCGTGCAAAATACTCTTCCTTGGAAGGAAATATTATAAATCACTCGTTGTCAATGCAGCATGAATTGAACAGATTTGACAGAAATGTATTGACGGAAGCGTGCACTTGATGTATTGCTCGGCTTGAGCCCGCAAAGAGAACAGCCTTGATTGGAATGGCGATTTATATCTGCATTAAGTCCAACATGCAGGGGGCTGGCAGTGCTCCAGCGCTCCAGCCCCCCCCCCCGGAGCCCATCGCCGGCCAAATACTGATCGATACTTCTGGAAATGCTTTCTGGCACTGCCCCCCCGGCTTTAAATTAAAAAAAATACAAAAAATACAAAAACCCTGCCGTCGTCGGCGACCCCTGCCCTTCTCACATGTGACCCCCCGGTACCGCAAGAGACGGTTTTAGTTTGGGGACTATTCGCACTGCGGGATCGGAAGCACAACTCCCTGACTTATTCATGCTGCCTAAAGATTTAATGGCATTTAGGAGGCGGGTGACCTAATGAGAGGATTCCGTGTAGCGGAGCGTCGGTACAGTGGCACCATGAATAATCAAAATGGCCCCCGTGGCTTAATCGCGGAGCCAGTGGCATTGGCGGCGGCGCCAGCCAGGCCGGCTCAGCCGCCTGCGACCCCCTGTGGAATGTTATCAGGTCTCCCACACTTGTTCGGGCAAAATATCGAAGGGCATTTCAACGTCTTTCAAAGTCCCGTTCCATCACAGGGAAGAAATTACAAATTTTGCGCTGCACAGGGTACGAGTTACGAGTTTGGATGTTTCCCCTCTGTGACACCAACCAGTGAAGAAAACCACTTTAACTGTTGCGCTGAAGTGGTCATCTGCAGGCTTCTATTATCTCAAGTGCCAAGGAGCCGTGCCGCGGTTCTGAGACCGCTTGGTTAGCATCCGTGGCTGCTGCTGTAACATCTCCTGTGTATCTTATTGAGACCAGGGGCGAGTCCTGGCGTTCGGAGGCTTGCAGCTTTCTCGAGAACCTTTCGTCCTCAAATCAAGAGCAAAAACACCTGCCGCTCCGCAGTCGGATCCCCTGGCAATTCTCTTGTGCGTCATTTGGGTGAAAAAGCGCACACAAAGGTGGAGATGCTCTTCAGCTCGAACGGTTAATAATGTAGCCACAGAGTGTACAGTGTGCACAACGAAATACTAAGAAATGTATCTGAAGACCTCAAGAGCTCGCTCTGCATGTCCTTGCGTTCTCAGCAGTAAATCTGGGAATGACAGACGGACTCTTTTCATGGTCTGCGCTGCTGATACTGCACATGTTTGTATAATAATTAGTCCATCTGTATTCACTGCAGTCACATGAATCTCCTACTAGGCATTATATTATATTGTCTTTTCTTTAATTGTGCATTAGATGTTTTCGTTTGATATTAGGTTTTGATAGACTGGGTGGTAATTCAGTTTTATTGTATTGGAGCACGCTGCTATTTGTTTTAATGTATAGTTTTTTAATAAGGTGCAACAATACACTCATTGTAACGGACCATCGGTCCAAAGCCAAAAGGAAGATATTCAACTCAGGGATGCAACTAAAAATCTCATTGCTTTATCCATCCAAAGGAGAATGTCAGACACATTATATATAGCTTGTTACGACACACAGTCCCAAACCCCAAACAATTTGACTAATATAACATTTGACACGGGAACGCGTTTTGCCGTCTTTACTTGATGGTTGGCTAAAATGTTTACTCGGCCAATTGAGATAACTGTCAATCCAATTTTTTGGTAAGTAATTCATTATTGACACATTTTTCCGCCGCTTATAAAACTTAAAATGATATGAATCATATCTGAGACGTCAGGATGTCTCTATAAGTCGTTTGCCATCGGATTGGGCTTTATACACTGGAAGCATTAAACATCATGAATCAGCGATCCTGTAAAGTACTGTGGGCTCATGGAACCTCATGGAAATTCAGCTTATAAAACCGCAGCGTGTGGGAACTTTTCCAACTCAAGAGTCATCAATCCTCTGATTTTAATTATTTGGTTGGATGTATAGGCCTTCCTGCAGAATTCTTTTATCTTGTTTGCTCCGTCAGGCAGTCACTGATTTAGTGGCCGTGGCCACTAAGGGACCCCTTCTGCCCTGTAAAGGCTCGACTCATTTACAACATTAAATTGCGTCCTTGGCTGGCTCCTTATTGAAATGCATCGCCCGTCCCTCCCCGCGCACAACAGCGTCGTATTTACAGTACAGCACTGAGCAGCGTCAGTTACCTGGGCGCATAAAGCTGTCAATACGCACCCTGTTCACTATAGCTATCACTATCTCAAGGCAACTCGGTGCTTCCATCTCAGTTCATCAGCCAGCGCGGACTGAGCTGGCGTGCTGGCTGGAGGTGGAGTCCTTTGGTCCTCATCATTCCCTTGACTCAGGAATAGGAGTGAATGCCACCCGGCGACGTCCCGGACCGCCCCGTCTCAGGTGCTCTCATCAGCTTTTTTAAAATTGGTTAGCAATAGGAAACGGGTAACGGGCGTCAGTCCCCTGAGTTACTCAAATATTTGGCTTCACACACATAAGTTAATTGGGTAACATTAACCCAATGAACGGTTAAAGACAAGACGAATATAATTACCAATGCAACATCTACATGCAGAAATAAAAGTCTCAGAAAGTCAGAAGATTCAAAGGAAGAATCAAAGAAAAGCACCAAAGACGCTGCACTGACGGCGAAGGTGATCAGACAACTGGATGATATCAGAATCGTGTAAATTGGAACACGAACGGGCGTCTAACTGACATGAACTAGGTTTCCTGTCAGCGTCTAATCTCAACGTGATCATGGGAAGGAAAAGCTACTTGAAATATGAAATATGAAATTCACCCGTCACCACCGGAAAACCCAATGTGTTCTGAATTCAAATGACTTTTTGAGCGTTTTAATCAAATGGTAGGAAAATGTGAAGCTTTGAGATACTGGAAGCGATATTATCAGGTACTAATAGCGCTGGCGAAAACGAAATGTAGAGTATCACACGCACACGGGATCACATGAGCCTTCTGTCCTGTTTCTGCACTCCTCCCTTCACATTCATCTATAATAAAATACACGCCGTATACGTACTCCCAGTGGACGCACACAGCCGCCGCGCTGCATGTGACACCGAGGTATGAGGAGGACCAGCTGATGCTCCCCCCCCCCCGTCCCAGAAAACAGCAGCAGAATAAAAAGAGAGGAAATGACCGACTTCCCCATCGAGCTCTGATTCAGTGGTGTTCTGAGAGGCGAGAAGAGAACTTTACACCTACTAAACACTCGTTAAATAAGTAATGAGTCATGTTCACGCACCAATGTAACGTGCATGTGTTGCAGTGTGAAAGAGCGCAGATGTGCTTGCAAAGTAGATGTGGGTTGTGTGAACGAGTGACGGAGGAAAGGGAAAGATCAATGAATCGACGCCGCGAGACGTTTCCTGCGTTTCACATACAGCTACAGGTTTCTACATCAAGTCTCCGTCATCATGAAGGCGGTTTGTGACCACGTAGAGTAAATGGAATCTGCAATCGCAACATAGAAATCCCAAAGAATTATTCCATTTACGGCTGCAGCTAATGATTACTTTTTCATTTTTAATTGACCAATTTCTATTTATTTAACAAAAGGTTAATTTTTTTTTTAATTACACCTTTTTGACCAAATTAAACATTTGTTCTTCTGCTACTGACCTTCAATTTCCTTTCACTGAGAAAAATGTGATTTTGTTTTACAATTGAGTGGGATGAACCAGATCATTCCGGGTATATTTCCTAGAAAAGTCTCCCAGTAAGACGAAATAACAGAGACTGCGTGTTTGTCATACTTTCCTGCATTAAGTCAAAGCCGGATCACAGAACCCGTTGTTGCAGAGACAATTGTGTTCGCGTGCAACAGGAGGCATCCACATACCACGACGCGCTATTTATTCAGCCTTTTAGATCTACTTGTCCATAGAATTACCCCAGCTTAGTCCCAGACAAGCAAACAGACAGAGGGGGGGGACTAGCAGGCGCTCGGGCACACAAAGGATCATGGTAAGCAAAGTAAACCAATGCCCTCATACGACGCGCTCTAATCCCACTCAGGGCGTCGCTGTAGTCAAATGTCAAATGCGCCGCGATATCCACCAGCTGCAAGCTTCCCCGCGTCCTACCCCATCACGCTCGCTCTCTCCTAACAAACGGCACGAGTCATTTTTAAGCCTCACTGACCCACTCTAGCGCCACGTTAGATCCCAACAAACCCCCCCTCGCTCCTTTCCTCCACCTTCACGCGCTTTAACCGGCCCCTTTCTCTAAATTAGTCGTGATTAATGTGTACACCGCGCATGGGGCAGGCTTAATTAAATAACACCATCCAATTAGAGGCGGATTCCGGCTGGTAATGGCGGCGGAAGATGGCGGGCGCCGCAAAAACATTCATGAAGTCCGTCAAAGTCCCGGGGCGGCCACGCTCCCCTGGTTTCACACAAACGCCCCCCCCCCCCCCCTAATCTGACAGTTACATTAAAATGCAAATAGCCCAGATGTGAGGGGTTTTGGTAACAAGTGAGGCTTACAGCCCCCCAGGGTGACACAATAGGCCCCGCCCCCACCGCGAAGGATAGCAGCCAGGTAACAGGTCGATGGCGGGTTGACCCAGGGGGGGCTGTTTAAATATTGGCACTGTTGGACGTGCGCAGGATTACGCGGCGTTGAGAGACAACAGCTTTGCAGAATCCATTTTACGTGAAGAAATGTCCGTAAAGACGTGCGATCGCCTGCAGAGCTGCAGTCCGCTGGTTTAAATTAAACCGAGCTCAAGGCGGACCGAAAGGTCACAGAAACTTAGAGCATAGTAATGAGCGGAGGGCGCAGGCGGTGCAGGAGAACAGATGCTGACCCCCCCGACCTCGCCACACACACAGACTCACACACGCACCCTCATCCCACACAGGGACGTCCCAGTAAAGGACGCGAGACGTGCACCACATGCCGTTGGTGTGTGTGCGCCAGAAGGCGGCTACCCTTTAAAAAGCCTCGGCGGCAATAACGCCTCACGGCGGCTTGGTGTGAATACAGCATTCACTCCCCCAGAGGAAGGAATCGGGGGGGCTGCAGTCACAAAGGGACATTGTACTTCCCTTCTGTGTTGTGGCTGAAAAAGAAGTCTGGAGGAGTGAAGGGTTTGGCCATGGATCACACGACTTAAGTACAGACTGCATCATCGGTCTGCGAACGCTAATGCTTCGTGGCGGGGGCCCGGGTCGTCGAGCGGGACGGGGGGTGGGAGGCTCAGCCGCTTTACAACAGCACCATCTGTCTTCGTGGGGAGGGACGACCGGCCGCCGCGGGGGAAACGTGTCGCGTCAGCCACTTTGATTGGTTTAATGGGTCGTTGTGGCTCCTGCTTTTCACATCTGGACAAGTGATGCGGCTAACACGGGCAGAGTGACTGGCCCGTGTTAGATGGCGATGAATTATACATCCTATTCTAAATCATTTAGCTCTCGCCCATCAATCTGCCTGAGTGACTTATTCTTTTTCCCTTAATATTAGCAGAACAGCGAGACACTGAGATGCGCCGACAGATAAAACGATAGGCGCCGTGAAGAGGAGCCTCCTTGGCGACAGACGCAACTCACTGCCACTGCAAATGGAACTTTCCCCTGAGCAAGCGGCATTCTTCTCCCGGCGGACCGGCGGCCTTCTGCCCCGCCGCTCGCCTCCTCTTGCTCGGGCCGAGCGGAGAGAAGGCCACAAGATGGATGCCGCTGTCGCCGCGCTGCCTCGGAGTGACAGATGACGACGACGCCGCCTGCGAGCTAACGGCCTTCCGTCTTGCCTGCTCCGCTGATCTGGTGTTGTTAATTGTGGGGAAAGCACCGCTTGTACCAACCGCGCCCTTCCTCTCTCCCCCGTTGACAAGCCTGTGCCGAACTAGACACCTGCCACACAGTTCTTTACAGCCCCCGAACACACGAAATGGTAAATCCCCTCGTGTCCGGCTTCAAGGGCATGTTGCCCCACCTGCGGCCGGACACGTTGCAAATGCATGAACGGATTCCCGTCAGTGGCGTGATGGGTGGGTGGGTGTGGGCGGGGGGCGGGGGGTAAGACAACCAAGGCACTGGACTAAGAGAGACACCTGGGTTTTATGTAGTACAGATAGAAAAAAAAAAACAAAGGAAATCAGTCAAGATCATGGGAGAATAAGTGCAGGTGCCGAAGGTTGATCTTTCCGGATTAACCGCCCTCCTCCTGCCCCCGCCTACCTGTGATTTAAAGTCTGGCCTGATTAATCATACTGCCGTTACCTCTGTGTTCAGGCCAGACGTGCAGATCAATCACCCCCGCCCAAAGGGGAGTGCACAGTGGCTCTTATAAATGGGAAGCAGCGAATGAGGGAAAAAGGGGCCGAGGGAGGGGGGGAGAGAGAGATCGAATGGCTTACTCCATGCTCCCAGCCATCAGCAGGAAAAGGTTGTAGATGTGTGAGAAGATGAAGAGGAAGAGGATGGCGCTGAAGAACATGGTCATCCAGGAGCCGTGATCCTCGCGGAACACTTTCAGCCGCAGGTATCTACCTGAAAAGGAGGCATGACAAGGACACCGCTGTCAGTGGTGGGGGGGTTGGGGTGGGGGGGGGTTCAAACATGTACGGCCGCAGAAATGATGAATGAATGAAGATGAAAGCAAAATGAATTAGTCACACGGATCAATAGCGTCCTGCTCAGTCGGACATGTGCCCTTTTTATCCCTGAAATTAAGATTAAAGACCACTTGGAGCCGTCACATGAGGAATTGTCTCATTTCAAACTGCAGCTTTTCCACCGTCAGCCCCAAATTAACCGAAAATATTCCACGTGCACATCATTTGGTGCATCTGCTGGACATGACGTTAGCGGGTTGAGTCGCGTGATGCGAGTTCTGGATGATTGGAGGAATTATTGCAACAATTGTGACCTGGGGTGTTTTTTTTTGTTTTGTTTTTTAACATAATCCCGTTTTGCAATCACATTATTGAGAATTATCTCTTTGGCAGAGCGTGACATTGTTTCATATATTCGGGCCTCTGCTCAGAAATGATAATCACACCCGCTTGTCCTCTGGCAGCGCTCAGCACTGCTTATGAAAACATTCTTTGTACATGTGATTTTTCACTTGTTTGCCTCCGTGGCAAACTAAACTATACACATAGTGACTAATCCGCATTTCGGTGACACACAGAATTTATTTCTGTAAATAGGGACATGTTTTTGTGGTCAGGGCGGCATTATGAAAAAGGGTTACATAAGTAAAGTACAAATCTGAATAATAACACGTGTGATGCAATCAGGGGTGCATAATGTCATTGCATAATGTAAAAGTCCTTGATGTCCCGCCCACACACTGCTGTGGTAACAGAAGCAATCCTCTTTGTACATTTAGGGTGTTTGTTACCAGCGTCATCGCTCACACCTGCCAATGCATTAGATACAATCTAAACACACTTTTCTTTTTTAAGGTTAACGTTGAGCTGCAGAGGGAGATACATCCAAATGTTTAGATGTTTTTGTGTGGGCCAAGCTTAAAAACAAACGGGATTCTACATCTCCAGAATGAATTCTTTTGACCCTGGGAGATTCCTGAAGGTCAGCCAGAACCCGCAAGTTATGCAACTGACCTTTTGGTCGCTAGTTTGTCTGCTGGTGCTGAAGAAGAAAGACACCAGAGAAAATCTGTGCAGGAATAAAAAACGAATCATAGAAACAGGCCAAAAGTGCTAAATATAAACAGTCCTCATAGAGTGAACCCCATCAGCTGCTTCAAGGTTACCAGTCTGTCAATGGAGAAATCCTCCACGAAGAAGCTCGGCCATACATCGCTATCTCAAGCGCTTCTCACATCGCTCTCACAGGCGCGCCCACACTCGCGCTTTGAGGCCTGTGCTGTGATCTGGTGCCATCTTCCCAGGAACAACTCTTTGTTTTTCTCTCCTCCTGCTCAGTCAGCATCCCTTTGAGTTGCAGCTCCTCAGAGGACACACACACACACACACACACACACACACACACACACAGCTCCATTTATTTTCCCATTACAGCCTGGCTGGTTCAGTCCCCGATAGTTTTACATGCTGTTCAATCTCAGCTTGCTGACTGTTAGTTGTTTGTTTTTTCCCGGCGCTGCTCGCATTAAAACACAGATGTTGATGTCTCTATGGAGATAACGAACGGACCTCCCGCTGGAAGTCCAGATATATTATGCAGACTAGGCTTTTGCATCTCGCAGTGATAGTTTTAACTTTTGGTTTACGTACTGATTGTGAGCTTAACAGAGGAGAATGTTAAACGACGTATTGTCTTAAAAACACTAGTTAACTGGCGTTTTAGCCAAAGCAGGGTGTTGGTGTGTGGCCACGCCATACGTTTTGCTGTGTAGTATTTCAGGGCCCATCACAGATGCATAATTGCATTTCTTTGCATGGGTAAACTTAATTGCCTCAAGTGCCGATGAGCCCTGGCTCGGGTGTAGGAGCGCAGCGTGTATCGTCAGATCTGACTTTTAAAGCAGCACGCCGCGCCAGCGAGCACAGCCGCCCTCTCACGGCCAACGCCGGCGAGATTTAACTAGGGGGGGTGATTCAAGACCAAGGCGCATGAGTCACCGCACCTCCCGACAGGGGAGGAGGCCGGCGAGGTGTGATTCATGAGCCCTGCCCGCTGCTAGGCTCAGCCCGACAAACAACAAACGACAACAACAACAACACATCGGCAAGGCACCCGCACACAATCACAGGCACCAAAACACAAAATGTGAGGGACACAGGTTTTGTTTCTTTCTTACTTTCACGCTCACACACAGACACACACACACAGCTACTGTATTACTCATATGAGTGCGGTATTAACAGAATCATTCCTTTAAAGCTATTTATAGTGCTCTGGGATGAGATCAGAACTGCTTCAGGTCTCCGAGTGAAGCTCAAACACGCCGCTGTGTCTCCATCTAGTGGCGATAAAGGGACACACGCCAGAGAGCGGAGCGGCGGGTGTGCAGACGAGCACCGGCATCTCTACATGCTACGATCTCATTCCTCCACCATTTGATGCCACATCTGTGTCTGAACTGAGAGCGAGTTGTCCCGATTATTAACATTTGTGGAAAAAACAAAGTCATTTGTTGGGAACTATTTGCAATGATGTAAATGTGGCTGATTTACATCCTCAACGTCCCACTTCTGTTGATACGAATGAACAGACTGAATACAATGCTGACTTTTACAATACCTTCAAAATAACAATTAATTAACCTATGAATTAAAAAAACAAACATAAAAAATCCAGCTGTCAAAGACTGCGCCAATTGGTCCGGATCCGTAACAGTGGAAGTGTGTCATTAGTCGACATTGTATCGACCCCAAGCAGCCTGCCAAGAAAATCCTAAGATTACACTAAATACGCAGCTACAAACCCAGTGAAGCTAAAGTGCCTTTAATACATTCACTCCAACTATTAATGCACAAATCCAACTCAAGCGAAGGTTATAATGGTCCCTTTTTAGTTTGAGTTTCAGAGAGATGTTGATTCAATTAAATGATTATTAGGGATCGTTTTGTGTTGAACTGTATCGCACTACATCGAAAGGTGTTTCTATTAATTTGTCCTACCTATTTATATCAACAAAGGTTGTCTAAAAAACAGAAAGGCCCCTCCACCCCTCCACCCTGCAGGACAGCTGTATCAGTTTAAGCTGAACCTAAAACCCCAAAAAGCAACTGAGTGCATGTTTAAATCTCAGTAACTCTTAAGTACATAAGAGCGTTTTTAGGATTGCCACTCGAGTCCACATCAGTCACTCAGTAACTGTACGACTAGCAGAGAGCAGCTGCACTGGTGCACACAGACAAGCAATTACCCAATGCCTCTCAGATGTTTTAACAGTGATTTCCTGTATTACACACACACACACACACACGTCTCACAGGGAGGAGAGTGCAGTAACAGCTCCTGACAGGTGAGACGCACACAGCTGGAGGAGGGAAGGCGACCTGAGAGGTGATCAGCGTCTCTCCGTTCATCATGAAGCCGCTTTTCAACAGCAACAGTTCTGACGCGGCGAAAGGAGGTAACCCGCTCACTAACAACGTTCTCCATGAAAAAAGATGCTGACGCAATAATGAACAAAAAAAAAAATATTATAGTCATGTTGATTTTTTTTTCCTTCAATTTCCTGACAACTTGTGTTTAAACGTAAATAGCGGATACAAAATGGGAAGTGACAAATGGGCCTTTTTCTGTGCGGATCTGGGTTGAAATGGGCAGAGGGTTAGTTGTTGACTTGTGCCCGGGTGAATCATCAGACATACTGGCAATAGATGAAAAGGGCCCCGGTTTCAGGGTTTGAAGCAGACAGCCAGGCGCTCGCCGGTGACGCTGTGAGACTATGGCGAAAGCCACGGTTAATCAAAAGGAGCCCGGTGAGAGTGTGCGACGCGTTCTACAGCCAATAAAACAGGGCGAGACACAGACTATTCTGGGAGTTAATCAAATCGTGAAAAACAAAAGAAAAAGAGACATGTATATGAAAAAAGAGCATACCATAAAGAACAGAAGGACCCCTTGTGTTTTATAGAACTTAAGGAAACTCAGTGGTATAATGCCAGAGATGCACATGGCTTGCTTTTACAGAATTCATCATATTGGCATTTAAGTTTTGTTTTAATCCGTCAGGACGGTGCAGTGCCAAACTTAAAGTATAAACGACCTGGCACTTGTGGACACCCGTATGCTCTAAACTATCGCCGTAGTTATGACCGTTTAAAATGAAAGAACACTTTGGCGTTTGGGTTCTGGGGTATTGAAGGGGCCTATTTTTAAACGCGTCAATGTCAGCTTTCTAGACAACAGATGACTGTGCAGTCCATGAAAACTGAATGTAGTCTGAAAGGTGGGGGTCAGAGGGGTCAGAGGGGGGAACAAAGACTTATGCCAAGCGCAGGAGCCATTGTTTGTGGAGCGTGACCTTGTGCTTTTTTTCAACTTTGTCAGCAAATCGGGGGGGACAATTCTGTATTAGGTAAAAACAACATTCCCCAAAGGGTTAGGGTGAAAGCCAGAGTTTTCTGAAACATTTATGTTATTATGAGAAGTCATTAATGGTCGGAACATTATGTTTATGGTTGAATAAAAACAACAACAATAAATTGCACCCCTATGATTGGTTACAGGGCAAACACTCATATGAGTCAAGTGGGTCAGATCTGCCTCTCACGAGCCCCCCAGAGAGCAATGCTGAAACTAGTCGAAGCGCGTAAATATATGAACAACAACAGTAATCCATTTGCACCCTGTCCTTGAACCTCCAGAGGTGCTTCTGGAGTTCCTCAACCAGTCCACGGTGTTCTGCAGCCAATTCCAGAGCGGTCAGTGGTACTGCTACATCCTGCTGGTTCTGTTCTCCTTCGCCCTCCCCGTGGGCATCCTGGGAAACGTGGCGGCCATGATCAACTACACCTGCTTCCGGAGAACCTGGAGCACCAGCAACCTTTTCCTGCTGAACCTGGCGCTGTCCGACTCCGCCTGGATTCTCACCCTCCCCTTCA